AAGTATTGTGTCTCTGTCCGTGGCATCCATCATTCTAACTGTGATATGTCTTGGAGTGTTTTTGTTAGGATCTCTTTTAGCTGGCACCCTTCAGGCTCCTTGAATCTGGATGCCTGCATTGTCCAACTCTGGGAACTTTTCAGCAGTGATTTGTTTAACCATGGCTTTTTCATTGGGGCTGTTTCCCTTACCTTCTGGTACTCCAGTGATTCTATTGTTCCTCTTTGAATCATCCCCTAGTACTCTGATTCGCTCTAGAGCTATTTTGAGGTCTCTTGCCATTGTTTGTTGTTGCCTGTAGGCTTCACGCAGCTCATCTTCCAGCTCACTGATTCTGTCTTCAGCTATAGCCATTCTACTGTTGAGGGCACACACTGAGTTTTTTATTTCATCTACCAAATCTTTTATTCATGTTATTTCTGTGCATAGCTTTTCAGTTTCTGCTCTCATTTCTTCCTGTATTTTCTCGATTGTTTCTTTCATATCCACCTTTAATTTACTCGATATCTTTGTCACTGTTTCATTAAGTTCATTGAACATCTTCATTACTTTATATCTGAATTCTTTCTCAGAGAGCTCCCTTAAGTGAGTAACATCTAATGAGGCTTCTGGGCTCTTTTCATTGTCCTCTCCTCGTGATGGGGATTTGCGTTGTTTCTTCATGTTGGTGTGGTGATATGGAGACTGAGATGTCACACGAGATTGTTGGGTATGAGTAATTTATCTGAGGCCACATAAGCCTCCGACCCAAAATTAGGCCATGCCCTTTTGCAGCGACCACGCCCACTTCTGCAGAGGCCACTCGGACTACAAGTTCCTAGTGTGTGTGGGGGACAGTCTGGGAGGAGCAGAAGACCAGGCATGGCGTTGGGGACGAACTGGAAGAGGGTCAGGGATGGTGGGTGGCCCAGGGTCCTAGAGGATGCCTGTGGCACATACACAGGGAGAGCAAAGTCCCGGGTTCGAATAATGACTGACTTGGGAGGAGCAGAAGACCAGGCATGGCGTTGGGGACAAACAGGAAGAGGCTCAGCTGAGGGTTTTTTTTTTTTTGGTTCATTTTTGTTTGTTTGTTTGTTTTTAACATCATTGCATCATTGCTATTGAAAAAAGCTTGCCATAATGGTTTTTATACATATGTCTGTGTACGTGTGGGTTGATGCCCCCCGGCATCAAAGCATACATGTCTTTCATTGTTTATAAGTTTTTCCACATTGTTTATAAGTTTCCCAAGAGCTTCTGTCATTAACATTTCCAGTAACAGAATATAGTAGTGTTTACCCACCCCATCACCTTGTCGTTTGGGTAATGGACAGTGTGGGTTATGGACTTTGTTATTGAAATATAAGAATGTTTTCTTACAAACAGAAAAAAAAATGTATCAGTAATGACCAGGAAATAAGTTCACCTTGCTCACTGCCACCCAATTCATTAATTTGAACATTTCAGCTTCCATAGCCTCCTTTGCCAAACACTATATTTAAAGCATTTCAGCTGTTTACTAAGAAGATAAGAAAAAAATAAAGTTTTCCCTCTTTTGCGGGGGGGTGAGCACACCCAGCTGTGCTCAGGCAGGGCTTATTCCTGCTCTGTGATCAGGGACCATATGTGGTGCCAGGCATCAAATTGAGGTTGACTGAATTAAGGCAAGAACCTTACCCTGTATTATCTCTCCAGGCCTTCCCTCAAGTGCTTTGTGTTTTGGTTTTTGGGCCACACTCAGCTGTTCTCAGGTACTATCCCTGGCTCTGTGCCCAGTTCCCTTGGTGGGACTCAGGGGACCATATAGAGTGTCAGGGATTGACCTGGGTTGACTGCATGCAAGGCAAGCACGCTACCCACTATACTATGTCTCTGAGCCCTCATATGGTAATTTTTATGTTTAATCCTTTGAGGAGTCATCAGGCTGTTGTTCAGAGCACTAAAACATTTTGCATACCAGCTAGCAGTGAATTTAGATTTCTCATTCTTTATCCTGTCAAGACTTGTTCTCTGTGTTGTTAGTGATACGAAGTATCTCACTGTGCTTTTAATTTGCATTTTCCTAATGACTAATAATGTTGAGTATCTTTTTATGTACTTTGAGGTCATTTGTACATCTTCCATAGAAAAGTTTCTTTTGGGACTGGAGCAATAGCACAGCGGGTAGGGGGTTTGCCTTGCATGCGGCCAACCCGGGTTCGATTCCCAGCATCCCATATGGTCCCCCAAGGGCTGCCAGGAGTGATTCCTGAGAGCAGAGCCAGGAGTAACCCCTGAGCATCGGCTGGGTGTGACCCAAAAAGCAAAAAAAAAAAAAAAAAACCAGTTTCTTTTCCATCTTTTTATTATGTGTTCTAAGAGGGTTTTTTTAATTGTCTTCATGGTTTTCCAAAATTTACATCCTTTACTGAGTTAGACTAAACATATTTTCATGTTTAAATAGGTTTTTTTCATGCCAATTGTATGTTGGTGGCTTTTGCTTTCTTTCCTATCTGATTATTTGGATTTTTTTCTCTTACTCATTTTTTCTTTGTAGTGCCGTGAGTTGAACCCAGGACCTCACACATGCCAGATAAGCACTTTACTCCTGAGCAATATCTCTAGCCCCCTTACTGATTGTCTTTATTCTTTGGGGCTACTGCAACAAAACATCACATACTGAGTAGCTTAGAAACAGTACCCTCAGTAGTTCAGGGTGCTGAGAAGGCTGAGACCCTAGCCGATGTGTCTGGTGGAGGCTCCCTGTGGCCCTCTGTGGTGGGGGTGCTGGGATTTCTCCCTCTACAGGGGCTCTGCCCTGTGACTGTCTCACATCCTCAGGCTCCCACCTCCCAAGTCTCTGTGAGAATCTAACTTGAATTTGGGAAGCACAAACATATTTCAGAATATAATAACATTTTTTTTCTTTCCCAGATTTTATTTTGTTAAAGCACCATGAGTGACAAAGTTATTCCAAGTTGGGTTTTTGACACCCATCACCAGTCCCGCCCCTAGTGTCATTTCCTTGGCCAGTGTTCCTAGGTTCCCTCCCCTACCACCCTTTGCCCCTCCCCGTCCCACCAGCACTCAATATAGTAGCTTTTAATTACTCTTTTTTTTTACTTTTCATTTTTTAGTATTTTTTGGGGCCATACCCTGCTGTGCTCAGGGGTTACTCTTGGCTCTGCCTTCAGCAGTTACTCATGGCGTTGCTCAGGGAAGCCATAGGAATGCTGGGAATCAGGTGGACTACATGCAAGGCAAATGCCTGACCTGCTGTACTACCGGTACTACTACTATCCCTAACTTTTAATTTTTTAATTAAAATTTAAAAATTTAATTTGGTGTCTACCTCCCTCTTTTATGAATTTAATTCTGTGGCCAAAGCGATTTCTTTTCAGTCAGGTCAAGGTACAGATTCAGATCTCTATGGAGAAAGGTAGAATCCCAGCCCCTCACTTAAAGCATTAAAATTAATTTATAGTGGCATCAAATTTTAAACCTAATAAAAATTTAAAATACCTCATGAAATCATACTATATACTACTTGTGTCCATAGCATCAGTCACAGCCTTTATTCTTTAATTGCTGCTCACCATTCCTTCCCCTCAGCAGGCGTATAGGCATTTGACTTTACAGACTCTAGAATTTATCACTGACATGTTAAAGGGGGTGACAGTAGTCAAGATGATGAGTGGTCTAGCCATGAGGTGCTCATAGGCTTGTCCCCACACAGAACTTAGGGGTCATAATGGTGCTTGGGACCCAGTGATGCTAGGAATCAGACCTAGAGCAGGCGCCCACTCAAAAATCTCGAGGGCATGCTTTGCATGTGGGAGTCCTGGATTTGATCCCATTACCACATGATCCCCTCAGTGCTGAACTGTAATAACCTCTGAGCTCTGTCAGATGTCACCCCCCAAACCAAAAACAGAAAACAAAATAGTTAAACATCATGACTTATTTTGTGCTATTAATTTAATTTCTGTGAATTTCATGGAGCCTGAAGTAGAAATAAGTTTAAGCTTTGTATTTAAAAAAGTTGTGGTGGGGCCAGAGAGAGAGAGAGAGGGAACAGTAGACAGGGAGCATCCCTTTGACTCCACTTCCTTGGGTTCGGACCCCACCATCCATCAGGCATCAGAGTCATCTCTGAGCATAGAGCCAGGAATAAGCCCTGAGCATAGCCCGATGTGGCCCCAAACAAAAACCCAAATAAAAAATACTTGGTGTAATATTTTACAAAATGATTAAATATTTTCATAGTAGGAAGAAAATGGGTATTGCATTCCTTGTTTTTTTCCCTTGAAAACTTTACAGCATGGGACAGTTATTGATGAAGAAATAGGGCTTAAAATTGTGTCTACTTTGTGATAGCTAGTCCAACGTTTCCAACCTTTCATCTTTACAAAGAAAATCAAGCCTACATTCAGAACAGCTTTCATTTTGCTCCAGCTCATAAGGCATCTTTCTTTTCGCTCCTTCAACTGCATTTAATTTTAAACGTAGATGTGCTGAGCCCATTGTTTCTTCTGAAACAGCAGTGGTTCTGAGACAGTCATTTATTTTATAATCTCTTATTTTATAATTATGTTATTTTATAATCGCTTTCTTTGGATTGTTTCACTTCAGTTGTGGGCCAATCCAGTGATGCTCAGGGCCTATTCCTGGCTCTGTGCTCAGGAATCATTCCTGGTGGGGCTCAGGGGACCGTATGTGGTGCTGGGGATTCAAAACCAGGTCAGCTGCATGCAAAGCAAGCACTTGAACTTCTGGACTCTCTCTTTGGCTTTTATTTTTCAATTTCTTGTCCCTGACCAAAATGAAGCATGTTGCCCAGTCTCTTGATTCAGGATATTGTATTAATAGTTATGTTCACATCACGGGCAACCCCAAGCATGTGGCTTTGTGTGGCTAAAGCGATAGTCCATTAGTTGTCATGGCAAAGGTTGTTTATAAGTTGTATTTTAAATTTATTTTGCAAGCTGTGCTTTGAATTTATTCCAAGATTTTGTTGTTGTTGTTTTTTCCACCCATAGCTCCTTGTAGAAATCCTTATGAGGCCTACGATCTCTATCCGAGGACAGAAATTAAAGAGTAAGTAAACTTGAGCTCCTCTTCTATCCCTTTCCTAACTCAGCAGTAAGGGTGTGCCTTACTTTACTTGTGGACACTCTTTCCACTTCCAACTAAGCAGTTTTCTTGATTCATTCATAAAAAATTATTTGGGAGGCTTGAGCATTAGTATTGCAAGTAGGGCATTTGTCTTGCACACAGTTCACCTGGATTCTGTTGCCAGCATCCCTTATGGTGATTCTTGGTCAACCAGTTATGGCCGTTCAATGCACGGGCCCCAGGATGTGGCCTTTGAGGGTGCTGTGATGCTGGGGTTGCCTTGGGCCTTCAGGGATGCACCCACGGTGAAGCTGGAGCTGGAGAGCAAATGGGGGCTGAGCACATTTACCTCTGCACCGTCTCTCTGGCTCCAGTATATACTTTTTAATCAAAAGTTTCTTAGCTCATTACCAAAGTGAAGTATATACAATAAAAAGGGAAAAAAGTAAAAGTGTTTTAGTAGCATATTAGTACAAGTTGGGTGGTAAATATGTGCATATTTTCTATCATTTATAGCTCATATAAATTACAAAGAATATAAGTCTTGCAATATTTAAAAATTTTTATAAAAGAGCAAGTATACTTTGGTACTAAAAGCCAGAGATCACTTCAGTTAATATTTGACAAATGTCCTTTTAGAAAATATAACAAGTTTTTTAATTTTAATTTTTATCTATTTTATTTTTGGACCACACCTGGCGATGCTCAGGGGTTACTCCTGGTTCAGTGCTCAGGAATCACTCTTGGTGCTGCTTGGAGGACCATATGGGATGTCAGGAATAAAACCCAGGTTAACTGCGTGCGACACAAGTGCCCTACCCACTGTACTATTGCTCTAGCCCCTAACAAGTTTTTTTATTAAAAATAATTTTCCAAGAGGCAGGATCAGGGTGATTGAAAAGGAGGAACTGTGTTGATCTCCACCTGCAGTCACAGAAATCTGCATCAGAGCTTGGATTTGCCTACACAGAAACTGACCTGAAGCCCCAGTGAGTGCAGCTTTAGCAGCCAGAGAGAGGACAGCACCCTGCGGGGCGCAGGGAGACAAACTTCCCTCCCAGGAAGGAAGGTCCTGCAGGGCACAGCGAGCTGCATGGGAAGAGATTTCTGAGGGGTAGAACTTTACCCAGGGGGACAGGGGACTCCAAGAAAACACCTGCACCCAGGCCTCCAGTTCTGTACTTAAAACACGGGAATAGGAGGCAAGAAATTCTAGGGTTTGCACAGGCGGTGAAAAACACAGGGCCAGTGGCAGGAAATGCTAGGGTTCAACTAGAGGCTGGAATTGCCAACAGGCCCCACATGGCAACTTTCTCTCCGCCTTGTTGATGGAAGTTAAATTGTCTTGCTCACACAGTAACCAGCCCTGCGGGAGAATTCTGAGATCTTTACCCACCCCAGCAAATAGTTGAGCTAGCTGGGTCATGGAGACAGAGATCACCATCCATCCACTGGCAAGCGGACCCATTCCCTGCCAGTCCACATCTGACCACTACAGGCAGGACCCACCCTACAGGCCTCCCAGAGCAGAGCCCATCAGCCAGGGAACCCCACTGTCTGCTGGCATCTCTTGACAAGCCAGAGTCTGCGGTCTACTAGCCTCAGAGAGTGCCTGCAGTCACCAGCAGGAGCTGACACCCCATCTTTTGCTTCACCCCACTACAGCACAAGTTCTCCGACCTCTGCCCAGGCCTGCTTGCTGTGGCAGCTTGGTGGCTACAGAGCACTGTCACACTTAAAGCCCTAGTTGCTGCTCAGGCTGTCTTGAATTTGGCAGACGGATGTCTCCAAGTATTTACTATCTTGAACCCTGAGTCACCACCTAGGCCCCCTCAGACTCCCTGGCCCTCACCCAATTTTGTTTGGAACATCAGATATGGGGGGAGGGGGGGAATGGAAGCACTCTCAGGAATTAGGAACTCAGACAACAGCCTAGAACTGTTGTTTTGAGGAATACCTAATGTGACAGAGTTGTGCCAGCTACCTGAAGAGGATTTTAAAGCGACAATCCTAATGATGCTCACTGAAGTTAAGACATCAACACAAGAGAACTCCAACAAGAAAAAAAAATGGAAGAGTTTCAAGGAAAGAAAGCTAAAATATAGTAACAGAATTTAAAATTACAATAGAAGGCACTCAACCAGCAGAATGCAAGAAGCTGAAAATTGAACCCGAGAGCTTAAAGGTAAAATAATGAAAACCATCCAAAAAAGACTAACGAAGAATTGAAAACAGCAGAGCTTACAGGGGCTCTGTAGGACAGCATCTAGAGGAGCAGCAGTCATGTCACAGGGTTCTAAAAGGGAAGAGGGGGCAGAATTCTCAGTAAGGAGGAGATGCTGAGAACTAGCTGAGTAAGGAGCAAGATACCCAGATCCAGAAGCCTCCGAGAGTTCCAGGCCCAGTAAGCCCAAATATGCACACGAAGACACTTCATAATTAAAATGGCAAAACACAGATAAGGAGAAGAATTCTACAAACAAAAGAGAACCAAAGAGTCTATATAAGGGAAATGCCCATAGGTCGATTGAGGATTTCTCATTAGAGACTGTGAACAAAGAAGAGTGGCGTGATGATGATGTATACAAGTACTAAATGGAAAAGACCTCTACAGAATATTCCACCTTGATACCTTACCAGATTTTGAGGAATAAAGAGTTTTTCCAACAATAGCTAAGGGAATTCATCACCACTAAACTGAATTTTCAAGAAATATTTAAGGAACTTCTATTAAAAGGCAAAGAAATCAGTTGGAAGTAGTATATTAACTTAGAAACAAAATGTGGGAGAGAAAGGAAAATAAATAGTGGGAAGTCTTTTTTTTTTTTTTTAAGTATTGGGACCACACCTGGCAATGCTCAGGAATTATTCCAGGCCTGCACTCAGGAATGACACCTGGCGATGCTCAGGGGACCATATGGGATGCTGGGGATTGAACTCGGGTTGGTGTTGTGCAGGACAAGTATCTTAGCCCCTGTACTATTTCTCTGGCCCTGAAACTTTTGTTTTCAAGTTTGCTAATTCTTTCCTTTTCTCTATTTCAGTTCTGTTAAATGTAGAATAATTAAATGTTTGGATGCTGTATTTTTTCTTTTCTAAGGTAAAAGGTAAAAGCCCTCCCGTTGATCGTCGATTTGCTCGAGCGGGCCCAGTAACGTCTCCATTGGAGACTTTGTTGTTACTGTGTCTGGCATATCAAATACTCTCGGTAGCTTGCCGGGCTCTCCGAGACGGGCGGAGGAATCGAACTCGGGTTGGCCATGTTGGCCGCTTGTAAGGCGAACGCCCTACCCGCTGCGCTATCGCTCCAGCCCTAATCTTTTCTAAAATTTATATATTTGGTTTTGTTTTGAATCTTATTGTGTTTTAAATTTTATTTTCTGCTGAGATTTTATTTATTTTAATTTAATAGGCTATTTTCCATTCTATCATTGAAGTGTAATTGTAAAGTGTATTTGTAATAAATGTTAATATTATTTTGCTAAACTCTACATTTGCCTAATTCAGTATTGGTGTCTTGATTTTCTTTTTTCTTTGCCTTTTTTTATTTTTTATTTTTTTTTTGTTTTGGACCACATCCAGTGGTGTTCAAGGCTTACTCCTGGCTCTTTGCTCAGGTATCACTCCTGGTAGAGCACGGGGGACCATATAAAGTGCTGAGGCTCCTAACCCAGTTGGCTGTGTGCAAGGCAGTTGATTTACCTGTTATGCAATTGTTCTGGCCCCTTGATTTGTCTCTTGATTTTCTTTTAAGAATAGATCATCTTGGGTGCTGGCACTTACCTAGGGATTGAACCTGGGTTGCCCTAGGCAAGGCAGGCAGCCTACACTGTACAATCTTGCCAGTCCCAAAATGTAACTTATTTAATAAATGTGATATTTGATTATACTTGCTCACTAAGAAAATCTGATTGTTACTTCATTATAAATTTTATTAGCAGAATGTAAAACAATCAACAATTTTCAATTTTAGGTATTTTCTTTAAAAAGCTTAATATTAGGGCTGGAGAGATAGCACAGCAGGTAGGGCGTTTGCCTTGCACGCAGCCAACATGGACAACACAGGTTCGATTCCCAGCATCCCATATGGTCCCCCGAGCACCGCCAGGAGCAATTCCTGAGAGCATGAGCCAGGAGTAACACCTGAGCATCACCGGGTGTGACCCAAAAAGAAAAAAAAAGCTTAATATTAGAGTTATTTGTGTGATAGTTTCCTTTAAAAGTACTCATTTCTGGGGCTGGAGAGAAGAGTACAGAGGATAAAGTCCTTGCCTTGCATGCAGCTGACCCAGGTTCTTTACCCAGAATCCCTGTGGTCCCCCAAGCACTTCCAGGAGTCCAGGTCCAGAGTAAACCCTAAGCACTTCTGGGTGGCCCAAAAACTAAAAATAGGGCTGGAGCGATATCACAGCGGGTAGGGCATTTGCCTTGCACACTGCCAACCCTGGTTCGATTCCCAGTATCCCATATGGTCCCCTGAGCACCGCCAGGAGTAATTCCTGAGTGCAGAGCCAGGAGTAACCACTGTGCATTGCTGGGTGTGGCCCAAAAAGCAAAAAAAAAAAAAAAATTAAAAATTAAAAAATAAATAATATTAAAAAATAAAAGTACTTATTGATTGGGGCTAGAGATATAACAGCAGAGGTAGTATAGCACTACATTGTATGCAGCTGACTCAGATTCCATCAATGGTATCACAGTTGTCTCCTACTCATGGCTGGGAATGACCCCTGAGTGTAGAGCCAGGAATAAGCCCTGACCATCTTCAGTATGGCCCCAGAAATCCCTTCCTCTACCTCTGCCGCCCAAAAAAGGGGGGCTGGGGGATTTGAAAAGCATTTGAAAAGCTCAGCATTTGAAAAAAAATTTACCCATTAGTTTCCATTACAACGTACTATCTATAAACCCTATTTGAACACTTGGTAGTGGCTAAGGGGTTCATGTCTATTTTTACTAATTATGATCCCTCAACTTTGTTCTGGAAATTGGTTCTTCATACTCTCATGATTATCTGGTGTGAGTATTCTCTCTTCTTCCCACCAGATCTGTAAATTCCAGGAGCTCTGATCCTTTTATTTATTTATTTTTTGTTTATTTTGCAAACCACTGTATATTCTATAGCTGCCATCAAGTAGACATTGTAGATAACTTATTGATAAATGGGTAAATTCCAGTTTCTTTGAAACACTGAAACCTAGAATCACTGAAATAAACTAATCCAGCTTGCTCTGAAGTCTTGAGAGAACTGAACCTAAAAGTCTTGGGGGATAGTGAGAGAAAATACAGAGTGCCTGTGTGGTTAGACTTATTTAAATCAGCAGTCAGGTCAGGTTGTCCATTGAGGTCTCAGAGGGAAATCTTGCATTTGAGTTTGTGGCAGCATAGGAATGAATGGAAACAGTTGTGTTTTGTTTTCGTTTTTGTTTTGTATGTTATGCCAAACAAAACATTTGGTCCATGGTACCATACTCAGTTTTAGCATCTCGTTTTTGGGTAGCACTGTAGCACTGTCCTCCCGTTGTTCATCGATTTGCTCGAGTGGGCCCAGTAACATCTCCATTGTGAGACTTGTTACTGTGTTTGGCGTATCGAATACGTCACAGGTAGCTTGCCAGGCTTTGCATGTGGACGAGATACTCTTAGTAGCTTGCCAGGCTCTCCGAGAGGGGCAGAGGAATCGAACCCAGGTCGCCCAGGTCGGTTGCGTGCAAGGCAAATGCCCTACACACTGTGCTATCACTACAGCCTACCTGGCAGAGGTGATACCATGATCACGAAGTTTTTGGGTCAGCCATGAAAATTTTATTTCCTTTTAGCACTGCTTTCTTGCTCACAAAGAAATAGCCAATTTTTAATTGAACCCAGTATATAAGGCCTTAAAAAGCATTTTTGAGGGGCCAGAGCCATAGTACAGCAGGTAGGGCATTTTGCCTTACATGCTGCTGACCCGGGTTTGATCCCCAACATCCTGTATTGTCCCCTGAGCACCACCAGGATTAATTTCTGAGTGCAGAGCTAGAAGTAAGCCCTGAGTACTGCTGGGTATCCCCCAAAAGCAAACTAAAAAAAAAAAAATTGTCAGTCTGGAGCCATAATATAGCTGGTATGGTGATTGCCTTCCATGCAGGTGATCAGGGTTTGATCTCCAATACCACATATGGTCCCCCAAGCTCAGCCTGGTGTAGCCCCAAAACCTTTCTTTAAAAAAAGGCATTTGCGGGCTGGAGCAATAGCACAGCGGGTAGGGCGTTTGCCTTGCATGCAGCCAATCTGGGTTCGATTCCCAGCATCCCATATGGTCCTCTGAGCACTGCCAGGGGTAATTACTGAGTGCAGAGCCAGGAGTAACCCCTGTGCATTGCCGGTTGTGACCCATAAAGCCAAGAAAAAAAAAAAAAAGCATTTGCCCATGGGTATTTGATCATTGTATAATTGAAACCCAAGCACAAAAATTTGTAAGTCTACAACTGTACCTCATGGTGTCTCACTAATAAAAATTTTTTTAAAAAAGGCATTTCCCCAAAGCCAAAAATAAAACACTTGTTGAGTCTGTAGTAAAAATAGTCTTAGAATGGAAATGTATTGGGGCTAGAGCGATAGTACAGTGGGTAGAGCCTTGCATATGGCCGACCCAGGTTCAACCTCCAACATCCCATGTGGTCCCCCAAGCACTGTTAGGAATAAGCAGTTCTTGAGTACAGAGCAAGGCATAACCCCTGAGCACCACTAGGTATGACCCAAAAATCAAAAAAAAAAAAAAAAAGGAAAAAAAGACATGTAACAAGATAGCAAGATCTCATACCTTGAATTCTAGTAGTTCTGTTTTTAGAAGTATTTTCTTTTTTATCTTAAAGGACCAACTTAACATAAGTATTATTCATTTAATTAGTAAAAATAAACCAAAAATAACTATATGCCCTGAGCAGGCTGTAAAGAGAACATGGCATGTTAAATGACATACCAGTAGGTTCAAATTATCAAGACTATGAAGCATAAGAAATTGGTTACTATATCAAATAAAAAGCTGTGTAGAAATTGGTCTGTTGGCTGAAAATATTGAGTAAGTAGGACTAGAAGGATGGATAAAAGGAAAAATTAGTCAGGAATATAATTTAGCAGTAGAACATGTACTTTGCATTTGTGAGGCCCTAGGTTTGATCCCCAGCACCACTGAAAATTAAAGAAAAATACGCATCTTGAAGAAAAATTTTAGGTTTGATTCTAATGTTCAAAGAAATCTGGGCTTGAGGGATAATTGTTGGCCTTGCATGCAGCCAACATGGGTTTGTTCCCCCGCACCCCATATGGTTCTCAAAGCCCTCCAGGAGTGATTCCTGCACACAGCTAGGAGTAAGCCCTGAGCACAGCCAAGTGTGGTCCAGCAGTAAGCTAAAACAAACAAACAAACAAAAAAAAAAAATATACCTCTGCTGCTACACTTTTTTTTAATAAGAAAAAATGACTTATTTCTTTTTTACTTTCAGTAAGCGATGAAATGTCCAAGGACTGTTTAAGCATCCTGTATAATACCTGTGTCTGTGTAAGTACCTTTATCATTGGGGCTCTGTTTATCTTCCTGCCATTTTTGCAGTGCTCAGGGAGGGAGTACTTAAATGGGAGTGATAGTCATGAGAGCAATCTTCGGATATTGAATTAGTGAGTCGTACATGTGTCTCAGAAGCAGGATCAACAGGTAGAAATCATGGGGAAACAACATTTTGTAATAACTGTCAAGGACTGGGATTGCTTCAGTAGATACTGAACTTGCCTAATTCTCGGCAGAGGTGTCTGAGGAAAGCCTGAACAAGTATTGATTGGAAGATGATAACTTTTAAGATTTCTTTTGGCTCCATTATTCCTATTCCATCATTTTCCTTATTATAAAACAAAATAGGAACCAGAAGGCTCAGCCTTATATTGAGCGGAAGAATTCTATAAGGTTGATAACCAAGCAAGAAAGAATGAATGGTGAGTGAAGGAAGCAATTTAAAGAAAGAAAAGAGCACAGCTCTTAGTGGTAGAATTAGATTTTGAGTTCTGTCCCTTTCTCCCTTAACTTAGTGCTAGTTGCTATTTCCTCAAGTTTCAGTTACTTGTATCTTATTAGTAATCAAATTAAGTAGAATTGTGGGGTCTTAAAGGGATGAAAGTCTCTATTTTTGTTTATTTTTTTTTTTGCGGGGGGCGGGGATGCCCACACCTGCGATCTCAGGGATTACTCCTGGCTCTGTACTCATGAATCACTCCTGGTGGTGATTGCAGGACTAAATGGGTTGTCGGGGATCAAACTCAGGACACTGTGTGCAAGGCAAATACCCTTACCCACTGCACTATTTCTCTAGCCCTAAGGTGAAGAACTCTTAAAACAGTACCTGTCTTTTAGAAACTTATTTGATGCATTGTAAACAGGAAATTATAATGTAACAGTCACTGAATAGTGTTCTTTTTAAATAATGCTGATGAGATTGAAGCAATCTTGTTGGAACCTGAACAAAATTATTCAAAGACTTGCTTTTCTTATTTTTTTTTTTGTTTTTTGGGTGTGGCCCAGCAGTGCTCAGGGCTTATTCCTGGCTCTGTACTCAGGGATCACACCTGGTGGGACCCAGGGGACCATATGTGGTGCCGGGATCAACTCGGAGATCAGTCGCATTACACCAAGTTCTACCTGCTATTCTATCACTCTGGTACCGCTTTTATTAATTTGCTTAAAATTATGGTTTTTCAAGAACCTGTTGATAGCAGGGCTAGAGAGTGTCAGAGGCCAGGTGCTTGCTTTGTATGTGCCAATCTGTTCAGTCTCTGGCACCACATATTATTTCCCGCTCATGTTTCCCTGAGCACTGCCAAGTGTGCCCCCAGACAAAAGCAAATAAGGAAAAACAGGTGAAGTTATTTTAGCAGTGCGTTAAAGTTAGTATATCAAGAATGTTACTGGGGCTGGAGCAATAGTACAGCAGGCAGGGTGCTTGCCTTGCACACCACCAACCCAGATTCAGTCTCCAGCATCCTAAATGGTCTCCTGAACAACGACAGGAGTAATTGCTGAGTACACAGCCAGGAGTAACCCCTAAGCATCACTGGGTGTGACCCAGCCCCACCGCCTCCCCCAAAGAATATCACTATAGTATATAATCAATATGTGAATATAGACATTTTCAGTTTTTGTACTAGACTTTCAAAATCCATTGTAGATTTTGGTTTTTGCTTTGATTTTTTTTTTGGGGGGGGGTGGAGAGTGTTGGGGAATTTTGGACCAAATTCTGCTGTACTTATTATTTCTGCTGTACTCATAATTCTGCTTATCCCTTGCCCTGTGCCCAGGGATCACGCCTGGCACTGCTCAGGGGACTGTATGTGATGCTGGGGATTGAATCAAGGTTAGCCACTTTTTTTTTTGACAATTTGTGTTCTATTGCTGGTTATGAATAACATATGATGTCGCGTGGCTGCAGTAGGGCCATGTGATTTTGAAATTCCGAAATTTTAACAGTTAAATCTGGAGAGATTTCTGCCAAAAGCCACTGGGTTTCAAGATTTGCTCCTGAGTCTCTGGGACCATGGCCGTTGAGCAGCTTGATTAGGAGCCAGAGAGGCCGTTCATGGGCGATGACTTGGGGTCTCGTTGGGGTGGGGAAGACAGGACCAGCTCCACCCCTATCCCGTGAGGCCCTGCGTGTCTCGTCACTGGGGGCCCAAACCTGACTGTCCAGTGGCCTCTGAAGGATGGCAGCCACTGGGTCGCCAGGGGGAACAGGCCAAGGCACGAAACCTATTCCCACCTGGGTTGGCCCAGCACCAGTAACCTACTGCAGGGACTGGACGCATTTCTGCCAAAAGCCGCTGCGTTTCGAGATTTGTTTCTGAGTCTCTGGGATCATGACCATTAAGCAGTTCAATCAGGAACCAGAGAGGACATGCCTGCAATTATATAGCTGAGCCGGAGGTGGTTTGTGGGTGTGTTTCCCACATACCTAACTTTTGGCCGTTTACTTTCTTGGTAAACTTTGCCCCAAGTTTTTGGGGTCTGGCCAAAGGCACAGCAGCAATTTGGGGGTATCTGGAAGTCTGAAGGCACCATCAGGCTGCTGTTGCACTCGCATCACAGGTATAGATTGACCTGCTGGCGGCACCATACCCCCAAGGTTAGCCACATTTAAGGGAAGTGTCTTAGCTGTATTATCTCTCCTGCTTCTTGTGGTTTTTTTTTTTTAGTTTTTCACAATAATTTATTATATTCAATATTCCAACACCAATCCCACCATGGTTATACCTTCCCACCACCAATATTTCAAATTTTCCCAACCACCACCCAAGCCTGCCCCAATAGCAGGCCATAAATAATTTCTTTTATATTGCTTGTTGTGAATAATCCACTAAAAATGTAAATATGATCCAAAAAAGTTTTTTTAGAAGAAAGTGTGTGACGATTGTTGTATCTCAGCCTGGAGCCATTAAATCCTTATATAAGAGATTACTAGCATGTTGTTACAGATTGAGCCTTGTGTGCTAATATTTTTTTTTCTTTGCATCACCCAGCAATGCACAGGATTACTCCTGGTTTATTATAATATAATATTATTATAATTATTTTATATTTTATGTGGTGGAGAGATAGCACAGCGGTAGGGCATTCGCCTTACAAGCGGCCAACATGGCCGACCTGAGTTCAATTCCTCAGCCCCTCTCGGAGAGCCCGGCAAGCTACCGAGAGTACTCGATATGCCAAACACAGTAACAACAAAGTCTCCAATGGAGACGTTACTGGGCCCGCTCAAGCAAATCGACGATCAACAGGAGGGCCTTTACCTTTATATTTTATAATGTAAAATAATATTAATATAATATTATTATAATATATTATTATAACATAATTATTCCTGGCAGTGCTCGGGGGACCATATGGGATGCTGGCTCAGCCACATGCAAGGCAAATGCTCTACCTGCTGTACTATCGCTTCAACCCCTAATTTTTTTTTTTAATTGAGATTAATTGCCTTCTACTTTACACCCCATCCAATGTGGTGTGCTACTCCTGGTATACCATTGCTATAGAGTATGAGATGTCGCATGGTTGTAAATGTGTCCAGAAACTCCTTGTATTTTTTAATACACAAAGCACATCTCATTTCAGCCTAGCTAGGATCCAGGAGCTCAAGAATCACCAGGGTAGGCACAGACTGATAAAAATAAATTGAAATGTGCTATTATTCTCAAAACTGAAACCAGTAAAAAGTTGTCCTCACTGGGGAAAAACAAAAAGACTTTTATATGACTCTCTTTAGCCATATCTATATAGTTAATAGTTTTGTAGGTTAGGGGTAAAGACACCTGTTATTCATTGAAACCCCAGTAAGACAGAATTCGATTTAAAAAAGAGATACAAAGCACAGAAAACTGAGTCTAACAGTTTAACTCTGTGCAGATCTGGTTGGATTCCAGGTTGGACAAGAACCAAGGACTTTTACTGTTGTAAACAACAGTGACTCGAGGGATCAGGCAGAAAACAACTATTTGAAGTGGAGAACTCTGTAAATTGTGACTAACCTGAAGTAAACAGTCCCTTCTAAGGACATTTAAACTCCAGTTTTTAGGAAGTACCATATGACAAAACTTGGCCTATTTGGGTTGAAGAGATAGTACAGCGGGTAGGATGAGTGCCTCACATGTGATTTCATCCTTGGCATCACAAATGGTCCCCTAAGCATTATCAGGAGTGATCCCTGGGGACAGAGTCAGAAGTAAGTCTTGAGGTTTCTTGACCTAGCCCAAAACAACAATAACAACAACAGATTAGCATTCTGAATGCTGATTTATAGCCTCAGAATTACATACTAGATAGATACTGGGTCAGGAACCTATGATTAACCGTGGGGGTGGCCAGCAGTGGAGCAGTTGCCCAGCACGTGTAAGGCTCTGGATTTGTTTCCTGGCACTGTCCCCCTCCCCAGAAAGAAAAGATTGATATACAAAATAATATTCAGGATTTAAGGCCTGAGCCAAAACTTACCTTCTGTAGAAGAATGCAGCTTTTCTGGTGTGTCTTTTTGCAAGGGACAATTTTCATTCATACATGCTCTCTCACACTCTTTTGCTGGGATCTGGTGTTGATTCCTTAGTTTTTGTACTTGTGAGGGGTTTCTTGTTCCTTGAAGCTTATTTGGTGGTTGTAACGTATACTGCCTTTTCTCTCTTCTCCCTTTTGTTAGACTGAAGGAGTTACAAAGCGTCTGGCAGAAAAGAATGACTTTGTGATCTTCCTTTTCACTCTGATGACAAGTAAAAAGACATTCTTACAAACAGCAACCCTCATTGAAGATATTTTGGGTGTTAAAAAGGTAAGTTATATCCTCTACCAGCCAGTTGGTCTCAGACAGTTGGATATGGTAATCTCAAAACTGAATCAAGTAGAAACGTGTGTGTGTGTGTGTGTGTGTGTGTGTGTGTTTGGATTGGGGGAGCTGGCTGTACCTGGTGGTGGTTGGAGGCTGCTCCTAGAGGTGCTTGGGGGAACTGTGTGTTGCCAGGGATAGAACAGCGGTTGGCTGTAAGCAAGAAAAGCACCTTAACACTTATGCTATTATTCTCTCTCTGGCCCTGTAGAACTCTTTTCATGTTTCATTTTGTCTTGGGGATCACATGGCAGCTCTGTGCTTGGCAGTTACTTACTCCCAGTTCTGTGCTTTGAGATCACACACACTCTGTGGTGCCTGGTTGGGGGAGGGAGCATGGGGTGCTGGGGAATCAAATTGGGGTCAGGCTCATTAAGGCAAGTATCTTAACTTCTGTACTATTTGGCCAGGTTCTGTTTTGAGATTTGGGGACAGGGATAGAGGGTGGTAGCACCCTGCAGTGTTCGGGGATTGTGACCCATGGTGGTGCTGGCAGATGGAATATGCTGTCTCCTGGGTATTAACCAGGATTGTCTGCATGTAAGGCAAATGCCTTGCCTCCAGTACTCTCTCTCCAGCCTGAAATTTTTTAACTTTTTTTTTTTTTTTTGGTGCTGAAAAGCTAACCTAGTTCCTCACGCATGAGAAAATATGCTTTACTAAGCTACTTCCCATTCCCCAGTGTTCTTTTCTGGTGGGGGGAGGGTGGTCTCACCAAGCAATATTCAGGTACTCATCCTGTCTCTATGCTCTAGAGCACCCCCTGATTGTGCTGAGAGACCATTGCAGTGCCAGGACTTGAAGCTTAGGGTGTGGGGCTGGAGTGATAGCACAGCGGGTAGGGCGTTTGCCTTGCACGCAGTGGACCCAGGTTCGATTCCCAGCATCCCATATGGTCCCCTGAGCTACAACCAGGAGTGCAGAGCCAGGAGTAACTCTTGTGCATTGCCAGGTGTGACCCAAAAATCAGAAAAAAAAAAAAAAAAGCTTAGGGTGTGTGGCGCCTGTGCTCTGTCACTCTCTTAGCCCTGTTCCACAGAGCTCTTCTTAGGGAAATAAACCCTGGGGTTAGGGAAATGACTCAGAGGGCCAGAGCAAGTGCTTTGCATGCAGGGGCTCTGGACGAGACCCAAGGTACCAAGGTGAGAGGAGTCCCTCAGCACCACCAAAAGGAACAGTCTTCCATATTCCTAGCATTATTTTTGGTGTTATTTAAGTGCATACAAATATACAAAATAGATTATACTCCTTTTCTTGATGGATTTTAACATGATGCTAAAGCCCATATGTATATATAAATTCAAATCAATTTGATAAAAACTTATAAATTCATTTGACTTCATGAACTGAATGTGATGACTAATGCTATATGCTGAAGTCAAATTGCCCTCACTGCTTCGTATTATGATGCAAGATCTTTTCAGTATTCCTATATTAATGTATCCTTTGAAAGTGATTCCATTTTCCTACCACTTTCCGCTTATTAAATCTGCCTCAATTTTTTAAATTAGTCTTCAACAGTTAAAATATAATTGATACTGACACAGGACATATAGTTATGAGCACTAAAATCTTGTTCTCTGGTCATAAGATAGACATCCAAGGGGCCAGAGCATGCTTCAAACCAAAACTCTGATTGATATGAAAATACTCTCCAAGAACTCTCTGAACTCAGAGAAATGAAGCCGTAGACCCCCGCAAGACAACGTATTAAACTTCTGCTGTGACCTGGCTGGGCTCCTGTGCTCACACTCCCCATCCCTGTTGTGCCTCCATATTGGTGGCAGGTTACTTCGTCCTCCTGGAGCAGCCTCTACCGCAACTGCTGTGGTGAGAGAAAGGGTGTCCCTGCGCCTTGAATCACAGCTTGCGTTTCCATCGTTGTGCTGCACTTCCCACAGGCCCTGTTTGTCCTGGAGGCTGAGGATGCACAAGCAGCCCATTGTCCTCAGGAGCACATTGGAGATATGTGTACATCTCACACTGACCCTTTGTGCTCATAGATTAAAAAAAAAAAAAGCTCTATTATTTTTCCCAGTAATTGTGTGCTCTGGTCTGTGTGTGAGAGAAAATTTGCCAAGTAGGAACTCCAGACTCTAGGGCAGTTTTAGCCTGGAATTGGGCTGTCCCCAGCAACTGTCCTGCCTTGCCCCCCTCCCATTCCCTCTCACCTATCCTCTCCATGCTGACAGAGGTGGAGATGTTCTCTCACTGCAGGACACACAGCAGTCCGCAGTGCCCTGTGAAAGGGGAGCATGGCTGGAGCAACAGTACAGCGGGTAGGGCGTTTGCCTTGCACACGGCCGACCCAGGTTCGAGTCCCAGCATCCCATATGGTCCTCCGAGCACCGCCAGGAGTAATTCCTGAGTGCATGAGCCAGGAGTAACCCCTGTGCAATGCCGGGTGTGACCCAAAATAAGCAAAAAAAAAAAGGGGGGGGGGGAACATGGGATTTTTCCCCTATTCAACTCACAAAGAATCGGCTTTTGAAATTTACCAAAAATTCTTACAAAGCAGCATATATACATGTGCTTACAAAAAAGGCCAGTAGAGAAATGGGCAGTGATACAAACAAGCATTTCACAACAGTTTAACACCTGGTCCATAAATCCACAATCAGAGGCTTATTAGCTTCAGTGATAATTACGGATGGGAACGTCAAGACCACAGTGCTGCTGCAAATGTGCATCATTGGGAAAAGTCTGTGCAGCTGGAACTTTGTCCGTCCTTCCTTCCTTCCTTCCTTCCTTCCTTCCTTCCTTCCTTCCTCCTTCCCTCCCTCCCTCCCTCCCTCCCTCCCTCCATCCCTCCCTCCCTCCCTTCTCCCTTCCTCCCTCCTTCCCTCCCTACCACCCTCCTTTGCTTTTTTCTGATATAAAATCTTTGGACAAACACAGCTCTTCTCAGACTGGGCTGATTCCAGGCTCTGTGCTTAGGATCACTCCTGTCAGACTCAGGGTGCTGGAGATTGAACCTAGCTTGACCACATGCCTGTACCATTTCTCCAGTTCAAGCTTTTCGACCAGCATAGTTTATTTACCTGCTTTGCTGTTGTCTCATAGTTGTGCACGCACATACCCTGTGGCCCAGCACCTAGAGACGCACTGCACCAAGGGCTGAGGCATTAGTCTCATGGCCTGGGTCACTTTAACCTTTCCCAAGGCACATTTGCAGGCAGCTCAGTCCCAGAACCCTGAATCTTAGATCTGAAAACACTAAGTTGAAGCTAAGAGGTCTGTGACACCATTTAGTGAATCTCTGAGCTAGCTTGAGAAAGATAAAGGGAATGGTTTGAGGACATTTGGGCTTTTTATTTGTACATGAATTTTTATAGTTGCCAAGGTGTCCTTATTGGATTTGATGGAAATTATTCTTGGGCACTGTCACAGAAGACATGCTTCAAGAAACAGATGCATCATTGTTTCAGTGTAAAAACAGAGCTGAAACTCAGTTTCTGATCCATCAACAGGAGAATGGATAAATGTCATCTTTTCAAACAGCAGGAAATTCTGAAGTAGTGGAAATGAATGAGTATTGCCATCGACTAGGCTAGCGAAAACCTGGCCAAATCCTAGGGATCAGTAGAAGCCAGTTTCAGAAGACTCTTGTCTGTTACACCATTTTTATAAAAAAAAAAAAAATGAGCAGATTCAAATTAGGCATGTGATAAATTTAAGTTCTGATCTGTTACAGATCAGGACAGTAATCTCTGATTGAGAGACAGAAGTGTGAGAGGAGAGGCACATATGTTTTGCTTTGTACATGCTACTTGTATGTACTGTTAAATGGAAATTTAAGAATGACATAAGTGAAACTGGAGGATGGTGGGCCTGGTACGTAACCCACACACTGAACTAAGATGGAAGGAACTGGTGGACTGAAAGTAGTAAGAGCTGACATTCAGGGGCCGGAGGAGACAGTTCAAAAGGCTAGTGAGCATGCTGGCACCTCGCCCATCAATATTTCATTTTTTTAAAATGAAATAAGGGGACTGGAGAGGTGGATTGCGGGTGAGGTGCTTTCCTTGTCCACAGACAGTGGCAGTTAAACCCCAGCACCGCACATGGCCTCCTGAGCATTTCCAGAGTGATCTTGAAGCACAGCCAGGTGTGGCCCAGGAACCAAAAGGAAAAAAGAAGATATGGTGAGAATGGCAACTTATGATTGATAAAACTTGAGTGGTAGGCTTTTAAACATTTTTTAAAACAATAATAATAATAATAATAATAATAAAAAAATTGGGCTGGAGCGATAGCACAGCGGTAGAGCGTTTGCCTTGCACACAGCCAACATGGCCGACCCGAGTTCGATTCCTCCGCCTCTCTCAGAGAGCCCAGCAAGCTACCGAGAGTATCTCGCCCACACGGCAGAGCCCGGCAAGCTACCCGTGATGTATTTGATATGCCAAACACAGTAACAACAAAGTCTCCAATGGAGACGTTACTGGGCCCGCTCGAGCAAATCGAAGATCAACGGGAGGGCCTTTACTTTAATAAAATTGGGCCTGAGATATTGTGCAGCGGGTAAGGCTCTTGCCTTGCACATAGCCAACCTAGGTTCGATCCCTGACACCACATACATGAGCCCAGCCAGGAATCAGCCTTGAGGACCACTAGGTGTGACTCCAAAACAAACCCCAAAAGTAGGTAAAATAAGCCAGGTGAGCCATGTTAGAAGAGAAGAACGGTGGTGCTCAAAGTGTTTAATATTTCGACTATTAAACCAAGACTTAACTTACCTAAGGTCGGACAGTTTTAAATTGCAGAGCTGGAATTTGAACCTAAGTGTTATACCTGCTAGACCTTGTTCTTAGAGGAATACAGAAGACCACATCCAGTCACAAATGAATAGGACCATGGGATTGTTTTATTTGTGTCTTCTATAGGAAATGATTCGACTAGATGAAGTCCCCAATCTGAGCTCCTTAGTATCCAATTTTGATCAGCAGCAGCTTGCGAATTTCTGCCGGATTCTGGCTGTCACCATTTCCGAGATGGATACGGGCAATGATGACAAACATACACTTCTTGCCAAAAATGCTCAACAGAAGAAGAGCTTGGGCTTGGGGCCCTCTGCAGCCGAAATCAACCAAGGTAAAGTGTCTGAATTGTTAGAAATTTCAGATTACTATTCATACTGTTTCCTGAGCCATCTAGTTCTTCTAATAGCTGTAAAGAGCTACATATATGTAGAGATATATCTAGGAGAGGATGTACAAGGTATAAATAAGGATAAACAAGAGTACATGGTTATACATTGCAACATTGTAATAACAAGTGACTGCAAGAGATCTTGCAGTTCATCAACTGTAAGAGACTACTTTATAGAATAGTCCCTTATAGCAGATTGCATAACTTTTTTTTTAGGGTATGTAAAACTTGTCTCTGGGGGAGCCAAATCTACAATCTGAAATAGATTTAAAAGGGTTCAGGACCTGTTGGGCCTCACGGGATGGAGGGGAGCCAGGCCTGTCCTCCCCACCCCAACGAGACCCCAAGTCATCGCCCACAAATGGCCTCTCTGGCTCCTGATCAAGCTGCTTCACGGCCTTGATCCCAGAGACTCAGAAACAAATCTCGAAACCCAGCGGCTTTTGGCAGAAATGCGTCCGCATCCTGCAGTAGGTTACTGTTGCTGGGCCACCCCTGTGGGGAAAGGGTGTTGTCCCTCCGCCTGCTCCCCGCTGGCGGCTCGGTGGCCGTCATTCTCCAGAGGCCTTTGGACAGTCAGGTCTGGGCCCTCAGTGATGAAACTTGTTGGGCCTCACGGGATAGGGGTGGAGCCAGTCCTGTCTTTCCCACCCCAACGAGACCCCAAGTCATCGCCACGAACGGCCTCTCTGGCTCCTGATCAAGCTGCTCAACGGCCATGATCCCAGAGACTTGGGAGCAAATCTCGAAACCCAGTGACTTTTGGCAGAAATCCCTCCAGATTTAAGTGTTAAAATTTCAGAATTTCAAAATCACATGGCCTTACTGCAGTCACGTGACATCATATGTTATTCATAACCAGCAATAGAACACAAATTGTCTGCTGTTGCCATTTCAGCAGATCTGAGTGTTGGGGTAAAATCTCAAATAATAATGGTGGGTCTCGTGCCAAAATATTGAATGTGATCAAAGCAGAGAGAGAGTAATGTGGAAATCATCTACCCCACAGGTAGGGGGAAGGTTTGGGATGGGGGTATACTGGGGTTTTTGGTGGTGGAGAATGGGTACTGGTGAAGGTACGGGTGTTTCATTGTATGACCGAGACTTAGACCCAAAAGCTTTGTAACTGCTCTCGCGGTGATTCAATAAATAAAATTATAAAAAATGAAAAAAAAAAGTAAGGTGGAGTTTATGCACAATTCAATCAGCTAATCAGTGGCTGAATAAATAGCAGTACTCCTACATAAAAAAAAATTTTTTTTTAAATAAAAAAAAGGTTCAGGACCATTATTTATTAGAGAGTTCCAGATACATATACCTTTTAATTTACCAAGCCTTATCTCAACTTTTATCCTATACATATATGTAGAGTGTTTATCTAGGAGAGGATGTACAAGGTATAAACAAGGATAAACAAGAGTATATATAAGATTATACATTGCAACATTGTAATAACAAGTGACTGCAAGAGATCTTGCAGTTCATGAGCTGAGAGACTACTTTATAGAATACTTCCTTAATAGAAGATTGCATAACTTTTTTTAAATTGTATAACTTTTGAGAAAATAACTGGGGTAATCTATAGTGATAGAGAAAAATCTCAGAGATACAGTAATGATTTGAAAAAAAAGTTCTTTGGGGCTGGAATGATTGTACAGAGAGCAGGGTGTTTGCCTTGCACATGGCTGGCCCTGGTTCGATTCCCAGTATCCCAAGCACCGCCACGAGTAATTTCTGAGTGCAAAGCCAGGAGTAACTCCTGTGCATTGCTGGGTGTGACCCAAAAAGCAAAAAATAAATTTTTTTTTAAGTTATATAGTATGGTTTTTTGTTTTTTAAGGTATGGTTAGAGGAATGAAATCAAAATAATTTATTCACTCATATGTGTAACCAGATAAACCTAAGCTCCTTGTGGAGAAAGGACAAAGCAATGTCATCCTACACTCATACACTAGTGCATTAAGGAATCTGAAAGTGGTTACGTGTCAGGGAGGCTGGTAATTGGGTAGAGCGACGTTCTTCAGCCTTTTACCTGCAGAATGGGGAAAGTAGGAGAAATTGTTTGCAGACCAGCTAAGAGCTCAGACAGAAACAAAAACCAGTGTAGATTCAATTTTGTAAAATTACAAATTTTAGTTACTGCGGCATCTGCTTCTGCTTAGACCTTCCCTGTGGTCAGACCAAAGATTGAAGAAGGGTGGTAGGGGCAAGGGGTAGAAGTGGGATGTTTTTGTGTATTGTTTCACATATTCTTGTTTGCGTGGTTGGCTTCTGGGCCACAGTCAGTGCTACTCAGGGCTTACTTCTGCCTCTACGCTCACATCTCATTCCTGGCATGCTCAGAGGGCTGTATGTGGTACTGGGGATCGAACCTGGGTCAGTCACGTGCCAGGCAAATGCCCTACCCACTGAACTATCGCATGACCCCCCATATTTCACATATTCTCTGATTTTTAGAACCATGTGAATATATTGTTTGTTTAATCTGCCCTGCCATATAGCTTTTTGATAGCTAAAAACCTATTCATTGATAAATTATTCTTGTTTAAGCAGACTTTAGGAAATTGGGTATGAATCTCATTTGGTCATAACAGTAGTGAATCATGTGAAATAAATGTTTTTACATTACATTTTGTTTTACATTATGTTTTGGGGCCACACCCAACTATGCTTAGGGGCTGCTTTGAAAACACAACTGTTTCTCAAGCCCAGTGTGGGTATGCAGAGTCCCTGGGCCAACGCACCGAGCCTCGAGCACTGACCGGCACCACCCCACCCCACCCATTCTTGATCTGAATCCTTCACAAACTCTGCTAATGTCCTCAGCTCGGTACAGACACTAAATTGTCGTACCCGCACTGTAGGTCAGAAGAATATCATTTCTGTGTTTCAATCTCATGTAATAATAAGTGTGTGAACAGTCTGGACCCTCATTCAGTGTTTTCTCTCCAGGCCTGTTTTCCTTCCTGAGCCGTAGAGCAGAGACCTCTCTTACTCTGCACAGACTTTTCATCCTCGCCTCCCCCTTTCTTTCTTAGAATGTTTGAGGCATCCTCATTTTAGTCATCTCAAGAGGCATTTTTTTTAAAAAAAAAAAAAAGTGGATTTGATATTAAATTATGCTTCAAAGCAAGTTTAACGTACACATATATACACAGTTGTTAAGTTTACATTTTTAAGTTCATGGTAAACATTGTCCTAACTGCTATAAATGGTTATTTTTAGTCCTTGAAACAGCAGTATAAACTAGAGATTGTGGGCTAGAATGATCATACAGCAGGTAAGGCACTTGGCCTTGCAGACAGCCGACCTGGGTTCGATCCCTGGTACCCCATATGATCCCCTCAGCCTGCCAGAAGTGATTCCCGAGCATCACTGTGTGTGGCTCAAACAAACAAACAAAAAATAAAATAAAATAAAAAGAGAGCTTAATACCTTCATTGTGTAGCTGAGGAAACTGAGGGTGTAGAAGGCTCATGATGCATGTCTGTGCTGAGGCACTAAATAACCGTAGTCTTTTAGTTTCTCATTAAATAAATTTGTTCTTGCAGATTATTTTTATCCTGTTAGTATCGATTGCCTTCACACATCTGTTTGCAAAGTGCCGGAAATAAGAGCTGCATATGTGGGTTCAGGTGCCTGCCTTGATCCTCAAGCACCACCAGGGGTCTCTCCTGAGCACGGCCAGGAAGCCTCAGCCCGTGCTGCATATGGTCCCCCGAATCCAAAACAGAAATAAATAAATTAAACCAGTACCACCCATCTCCTCAGCGATCAGTATATTATAGTCAGTTCTTTAATTAATGGAGCACTTCCAAGCCCACTTTTCTTTTCCTCTTCTTTTTTTGCTTTTGGGTCACAGCCTGTTGTGCTCAGGACTTACTCCTACCTAGCTCCATGCGTTGGCAATATGGCAATAAAAACAAAATATTTTATTTCACATGATTCATCTACTGTTATGACCAAAAGAGATTCATACACAATTTTCCTAAAATCTGCTTAAGCAAGAATAATTTATCAATGAGTAGGTTTTTAGCTACCAAAAAGCTATATGGCAGGGCAGATAAACAATATATTCAATGGTTCTAAATATTGAAATTTTTTTGTCCCTATTAAATGTGTCATCATTCTTTATATCTGTGTATTCCATTGGGTAGATGCATCATACTTAGTATTGTGCTATTAATGGACACGCAGTTATCACCACCATTTTGCTCCCATAGAAACTATATCAGTGAACATCTTCATAATATCTCTGCTATTTGATCATCTCCTTAGGGTCAGTTACTTGAAATGGACCTCCTGGCTCCAAGACAGATTTTAGGCATGAAGGTTATTCTTGTTTGTATTCCCCCCACCCCACCCAGAGGATAGGAGAACCTGTCTTTCAGCACCTGCTCAGATGAATATGTTTCTGTAGCTTTAATACTCTTTGCCTTGGCTTGACGTTTCATTTTACAAGGCCCTCCTGGCTCACACCCCCCACCCCACCCCCCACCCCCATGCCATGTGGGGGGAGGAGCTACTTGTTTGTTGAGGGCTTAAGGGCTGGCCTCCATTTTGAAAATTCCCTCTTCTCTCCCTGGCAGCGGCCCTTCTCAGCATCCCTGGCTTCGTTGAGCGGCTTTGCAAACTGGCAACTCGAAAGGTGTCAGAGTCAACGGGCACAGCCAGCTTCCTGCAGGACCTGGAGGAGTGGTACACGTGGCTCGACAACGCTTTGGTGCTCGATGCCCTGATGCGAGTGGCGAATGAGGAGTCCGAACACAATCAAGGTACTTGGGGAGGGATGCTTTCCTTTGGGCGACGGGAGGCAACTCTTGTTTCGTCTCCTTACACTGTCATTCAAGAGCTGGAGTCATTCTTGACCTCTTTCCAAGGAGAATTTTTTTTTTCAAAGTAGAACTTCCTTCAGGACAGCCCTTACAAATCATGATGACTACTAAGATTTTTTGGGGCCTGGGGCTGGAGAAGTTGTACAGCAGGTAGGGCATTTGCCTAGCATAAGGCAGACCTGGGCTCGATCCCCGGTATCCCATATGGTCCTCCAAACGCTGGCAGGAGTCATCCCTGAGTAAGTCATCCCAGGAGTAAGCCCTTAACACTGCCAGGTGTCCCCTTCCTCCCCACTCCCCAAGAAATCCCCAAGGGAAAAAGAAGACTGGGGCCAGGTGTGGTTCTGTTAACCCCGAAGCACTGCCCCCTACCCTTGTCCGAGCCCCACTGGGAGTGCTCCCCCTGAACTCTTTCCAAGAGGAGCTGATTGTGGGAAGGACTTTGTTGCCAAACCCAGGACTGACTAGAATCAGTAACCAGAGCATTCTGAGGAGGTTCCCCCCACCTCTTCATTCTATACATTTCTTTCTTCTTTTGTCCTCCATGAAGGACACTGGCGTATCTGCGTCAGGTGCTCCATCATGATGCCTTTGCCTTGGTGTTGGAGTCGGATTGTCCAGTACAGCACTGTGCACCTGCTGGTGGGGGGAGGGGAGGTTCTGCTTCAGGACTGCCGTGTGCAGAGCCCCGTGGCCCTGTCCCCCACTGAAATAAAAGCAGAACTGGTACAAACCACTCATAAGAAGTCTGTGGAATTTATTCTAAGAGCAAATAAAGAAACATTTCCCCTTTTGGGGGGGAGGTGGGGTGGAGTGTTAGGTTTTTGTTTTTTCAGTTAGGTTTTTTGGTTTTTTTTTCCTTATTATTTGTACTTTTGAATTTCTTATTTGAGACACCTAATTACAGTCTGTTAATGATAGCCTTGTGCATACAGTGTTGCCACCACCCACCCTGCACCACAGTGTGACTTCCCTCCACCGTTATCTCAGAGTGAGGAAAACATTTCGGAAAGCCTTCTGAAACCCAGCAGGAATAGTGAGTGTAAGACACGTGAAATTCTGCTCAGTGCGAGTTCTCCTCTGGGCTTCCTTCCTCTCCCAGCAGCTCCCAGACCAGAGTGGGATCTTGGAGCCGAAGCAGTTGTAAAGTGGAGAGTGCCCTTGCCTTGCACGCAGCAACCCGGGTGTGATCCCCACATCCCATATGGTCACCGAAGCACCATCAGGAGTAATTCCTCAGTGCAGAGCCAGGAGTAAGCAAGTGTCTCATTGCTGGGAAGGGTGAGCTGCCGGCACCGCTTAGCCCCCTCTGACCTCAGTTGGAGGCGAATTTCTGGCGAAATTCTTCAGGAGTCTCCCAAAGCTCAGGGCTTCCTTTCTTCCTTCTTGATAGTAGACAGAATTGATATATATAACATTGCATCCATTTAAAGGCACATACATGTTCTACTATGGAGCTGCATCCTTGCTCCCTGAGCCTCATGCCTCCCACCCCCTACATCCTCCCCCACACCCCATGCCCAGAAATTCTACTGTGCCTGTTGTTCTTGCCCTCTCTCATATGTTGGATAGAGGTTCCAAGTTGGGATCAGCAAGCCAAGACCAACCAGGGTCCACCAACCTTTCTCGGAGTAGTGACCCTGAGATTTTGTCCAAGGGTACAGGTAATAGTAAGAACCATTGGGTAATTCTACTCTAAGCACATTCTCAAAAAAGAATGTGGATTTTGGTGCTAATAAAAGGATCCTGTTCCTAATTGAGAACAAAAAAGTTGAACTGTCAAAATCACCAGAAAGATAAGATAGCTAAGAACCTCTTGCAAGTTACAATCAGCTCAGTCTCAAAAACTCACATTGCCCAGGTTTAATTGAATCTGATTTTGGAGCAGTGTGTGCCTCAAGGCATTGTCAAAAACTGGAGAGCATTCAGCCAGCAATTAGTGGAGGTAATTGACAGCTGGATTTAATACCAGATGAGGCAGCGAGATCAGGAAAGTCCCCACGGGAACCCTGCCTCAGACACTGTCATCCAGGGACACAGCAAATCCTGAGGCCCAGCTCCCCACCAGAAACAGACTGGCCTGAAGTAGGGTAGCCTTCCAGGGGATCCGCATCCAGAACTGCTACAATATTTACCTAAAATGTTAGTTTTTAAAAAACATGAGACATCAAAGAAGTGGAAAAAACTAACACAAGAGTGAAAACAAGCAAAAAAAACTGAGGGAGAGCTCATTATTTATTTTTGGTTTTTGTTTTTGGACCACACTGTCAGCTAGCCAAGGCAAGTGCCCTACCAAGGCAGGTGCCCTACCACTTCCTGTACTATCTCTCCACCCCCATGTTTATTTTGGGTTTTGGTCATTATTTAAAAGCAATCATTATAAGTACCCTCAAAAGACCTACAGGAGGGGTCAGGGAAATAGGATAGCAGTTAGGGCACTTGCCTTGTGTGTAGCCAACCTGGGTTCGATGAGGCATCCCATACGACCCCCATGACTCATATTCATAAGTGTTGAAAGAAACAAACAATAAGAATTTTGTCCAGCAAAATATTCTTTGAATGGGACTGGATTTCTCCATTCATACAATGGATAGTATATTTTCCTTGCATTGTGGCTGACCCGGTTTCAGTCTCTGACACTGCTTATGGTCTCCCAAGGATCACTAGAGTGATCATTGAGCACAGCAGAGTGTGGTCCCAAAACATAACACCCCAAAAAAATGCCTTCAAAACTTAAGGTGAGAGCCAGGGAGATAGCTCAGTTGTCTGTCACACAGGATTTGCATGCAGGAGCTCTGGGTTCAAATCCCTGCTGGATGTGGTCCCAAAACCCTGCACGAAAAAGGAAATAAGGGTGAAATAAAAGCATTGCTAGATAATATCTAGAGAATTTTTTTTTCAGTAGAAATCCTTCCATATGAGAAATGTCAGAGAAAGTTCTTTGAGCTGAAATCAAAGGACATCAACTGGTCACTTAAATCCACTTGAAGAGCTGAAGTGATAGTACAGCAGGTAGGGTGCTTGCCTTGCACGTGGCCAGCCTGGGTTTGATCCCTGGCAACTATATGGTTCCCTGAGCCTTGCCAGGAGTGATCCCTGACCACAGAGCCAGGAGTAAGCCCTGAGCACCACCAGGTGTGACCCAAAAAAACAAACAAATTTTTCGTTTAAATCCACTTGAAAGTACAGTGATTATCAATAAAGGCATTATAGAATTATAGTGGGAGATGCAGCTTAGTGGTAGAGTGACCCTTGGTTCATTGCCTGGCACCACACACATAAACACATAAACAGAAGACAGAAACAAATGAATTAAACTAATCTTAGGTATTACAGGGATAGAGAAAGAACTTTGACTTTTTTTGGGGGGGGGGGGCGTCACACCCAGCGATGCTCAGGAATTATTCCTGGCTCTGCACTCAGGAATTACTCCTGGCGGTGCTGGGGGAACCATAATGGGATGCTGGGAATCAAACCCGGTTCTGCCGCGTGCAAGGCAAATGTCCTACCTGCTGTACCGTCACTCTGGCAGTGCTGGGGAACAGATTGACAAAATCCAGTACCTTCTTCTTGATTAAAAAAAAAATACTAGGAATGGAAGATACTTTCTCTGTTGATTTAAAGGCATCTGCAGAAAACTCACAGAGAGCTAGCTCAATAGACTGAGCACATGTTTTCATACACGAGGCCCATACTTAGTCCCGAGCACAGAGACAAGATTAACCCCACACTGCCAGATGTGGCACACAAAAATAAAAAGCAAGCCTACAGCTAACCTTAAACTTGATAACAGAAAAAAACAAAAACAAAAAATAAGATGCTGGCCAGATTAGGGAGGAGTAAAATTCTGTCTGTTCATAGGCAATATGATCTTATATTTAGAAAAAATTAAAAAGTTATTTAACCTTTTATTTTTTAAAAAATTAAAAAGTTATTTAACTCATTTTTAGTAAATGAGTTCAACCAAGTTTGGGGGTATCAGATTAGTATACAAAAAAGAAATTAAAATACTACAGTATTTTAGTTTCTTAAATGTAATATATATTTAATATAAATGCACTAAATAACAAATGTGAAAGTTGCATTCTGAAACTTATAAAACATCATTACGATTAAAAGAAATTAAAGAAAACCTAAATAATGTAAAGGCATCTCATGTTTATAGATCAGAGGACCCAATGTTGCTAAGATGAAAATACTCCCTTATCTTGATCTATCTATAGGTTCAGCACAGCCTTTACCAAAATTCCAGCTGGCTTCCTACAGAAATGGAATAACTAGTCCCAAAATACACATGGAAATGTAAAGAAGTTCGAAATGGCCTAGACAGTCTTGAAAGAGATTAGAACAACATTTAAAAATCATTCTTCATAATTCCAGAACTTAGAAAGCTGCAGTTCATCCAGACCGCTGCTCACATAGAAGAGCTGTAGACAGTGAGCTGGAGTGGAGTGTTGGGACGTAAACATTGGCTTTTACGTGGCCCACTGACTCTCAACTAGTGCCAAGACCAGTTGTGAAGGAACAAGTCTTGTCTTTCTAACAAATAAGCCTGAACCACTGGATACCACTAGAAATCCAATAACAATGTTCAAAAGAACAAGGCTGCCACTGCTGCCTTCCATCAGATACGAAAATGAATCCAAAGTGATCCAAGACCAAAAGGAAGAACTCAACCTGTATAGCTCTTAGAGATCACAATCACGACCATCCTGTTGTTCGTCAATTGCCTTGAGCAGGCCCCAGTAACGTCTCCTTCGTCCTAGCCCTGAGATTTTTTAAAAAGTGCCATATTCAAGGTTCTTTCAGGGTTAGGAGAATGAGACCCATCATCGTTACTGGTATTTGGCATATTGGGTATGCCATGGGGAGTTTGCCAGACTCTGCCATGTGGGCAGGTTACATTCAGTAGCCTTAGAGAAAAAACATAAATCTTCATGACCTTGACTTGGCCATGGTTTCTTAGATGAGCCTAAAAATTTAGTACCAGCAAAATGTAAATTTTACTTTCTTAAAACTAGAATCTTTAGTACTTAAATAAAAAGAAAACTTACCCAGGGGCCCAGGGAGACAGCTCAGAGGGCTAGTCTACATGCTTTTCAGATTAAGAGCCCGGATACAATCTCTGGTCCCTCCTCTTGGTCCCCCAAGCACCTCCAGTGCAACCTGGGGGTAGTAGCTTTTCCAAACTGCTGGATGGGATCCCAGAACAAACACTGTCAAGAAAAGAAAAAACACAGTTCACAGAATGAGAGAGCATTTCATGGGGGTGCAAGAGAACATTTTTACAAACCAATGGTGTACACTTAATTTTATTTAAAAAGAAAGAAAATGGGACCACACCCAGTGGTGCTCAGGGCTTACTCCTGGCTCTGTGTTTGGGGGTCACTCCTGGCAGTGCAAGTCATTAGCTAATTACCTTGTCATTAAGCAAAGCTCTGGTCATTGCTTTGGGATCTCTGTTTTCCTGAAAATACTTACCCCGCAGCATTGCCAGGGTGGCCCAGGTAATCCTGGCACCTCAGAGCCCAAGCAGCATCGAGCAGCCTGCCCAGTTGGCCGAGAATTGCCAGTGGGGCTTCAGGTCCTGAGCACTGCCTAGGGACAATTAACAAGAAGAAAAGGAAATACTTAGGCAGCGAAGGAGGGTATGGGTTTTTTAGCCCACATCCACAACAGTGCTCAAGAATCACTCCTGGGGGCTGGAGTGATAGCACAGCGGGTAGGGCGTTTGCCTTGCATGCAACCAACATGACCGACACAGGTTCGATTCCCAGCACCCCATATGGTCCCCTGAGCACCATCAGGAGCAGTTCCTGAGTGCATGAGCCAGGAGTAACCCCTGAGCATAGCCAGGTATAACCCAAAAAAGCAAAAAAAAAAAAAAAAAGAATCACTCCTGGCGGAGCTGAGAGTACTGAATGTGGTGCTAGGGATTTGAGCTGGGGGTGGCCGTGTGCAGGCCGGTACTGCCTGCCACTCTCTCTGGTCTCTCTGCACAGAAGTTCCTGGCGGCAGAGAGCCCATGTGCCTTGCACTGCACAGACCTTGGGCAGACTCACTTCTACAGGACCCTCCTCTCCACTTAGTCCCCCCAGGCCAGGTGACGGGGACCCACAGTTTTCACAGCCACACGGCAAGTGTGCGGCAGAGGCAGCATGATCGTGACAGTGCTGCAGCGTCTCTCCACAAAGTTGCTGACTCCTAGACCATTCTGGAAACTGGGCCCAGGAGTCCCAATAAGGAAACTGAGTAATTATGTTCTTTCTCCCCCCAGGCAGGAAAATATATGTGGATAGTTAGAATTCTCTCAGATATACTCTGTCCAATAAAAAACAGGTCATTGCCCATTGTCACCCTGTTGTCGTAAAGAGTTTGCAGTTTCAAAATAAGAAAAATAGGAACACTGGTGGAGGGGTTAGGGTTGAATTATTGTATGCCTTAAACTCAACTATCATTGACTTGGTAAGTCATGGCTCATGGCTCTTTAATAAAAAATTTAAAAGACTACGGGGCTGGAGCAATAGCACAGCGGGTAGGGCGTTTGCCTTGCACGTGGCCGACCCGGGTTCAATTTCCAGCATCCCATGTGATCCCCTGAGCACCGCCAGGGATAATTTCCGAGCGCAGAGCCAGGAGTAGCCCCTGTGCATCGCCAGGTGTGACCCAAAAAGCAAAAAAATAAAAGACTAAAAAGAAGAAAACAAGTGGCAAGCCACTGTGAGCAGAAAATTTCTGCTTTTTACTCTATTGAGCATATATTTGTATGTTGCTTGTATGTCCTAGGCATTGTCCTAACTACCTTCCAATAGAAAATTCTTTCATCTAACATTGCTGGGGCTGGAGCGATAGCACAGCGGGTAGGGCGTTTGCCTTGCCCGCGGCCAACCAGCCGATCCGGGTTCGACTCCTCTGCCCCTCTCGGAGAACCCGGCAACTTCCGAGAGTATCTTGCTTGCACGGCAAAGCTTGGCAAGCTACCCATGACGTATTCCATGTGCCAAACACAGTAACAAGAAGTCTCACAATGGAGACGTTACTGGGCTCGCTCGAGCTAATCAATGAACAACAGGAAGTCAGTGCTACAGTGCTAACATTGCTGAAGGGAATAGGACAGGTGGAGAGATAACACAGTGGGTCAGGTGCCTGTCTTGCATGCACCCAGCCTGAGTTCAATCTCCAGCGTCCGGTGTGGTCCCTCAGATCCCACCAGGAGTGATTCCTGAGTGCAGAACTAACCCCTGAGCATCGTCAGACGTGACTAAAGCCCTAAAAAAATAAATTCTGTGGAAAGTAGATATTTTTGCCATTATCGCTATTACAGAGATAAAGCATGAAGCCATCCACATATTTTGTTCAAGGCCGCTGAGTGGATGGTGGAATGAGGGTTCGGACCAGCAGCCTGCTCCAGAGTCTGTGCTCTTAACTGCTGCACTGTGCTGACTTCCTGCCTCATTCCCTGCCATTCTTCCTGAGATCCAGAGTGTTGCTGATGTTGTAACAGGGCTGGGCAAACTTGCTCCAAGTCTTTTAAGACAGGCTAAGTTAGTTCTGTGTTAAGGAATCATCTTACAGAAATCACCGTGACTTCTGTGAATACCTCATGGCTTGCTCTAAAACTTAACATCACTTTCCTGGCCTTGGGAAAGGCCCTTGTGCAGCAGAACTCTGGACCTTAGTAATTATTGATTTATCCTTTTTTTCACCTTAAAGATGAAAATTTGAAACTAAAGGGAGCTCTCCTGAGGTCTCCTGACTGATCCCCAGCAGGCCTGAAGTGACCGCAGGCGAAGCGTGTGCAGAGTCAGGCTCTGGCTCTCCCTGCGTTCTCCTGGGGTTCTCCCGAGCACCCCCACTCATGTGCCCACCATTAGCCGGGAAGGAGAAGCCTTTCAGCTGTGCCCCCCAGGAAACTTAAGCAGGAGACACAGTCCGCGTCCTGGTGACCAGAAGGGAGCTGGACATCGTATGCTACCAGACTCATCTGGGAGTTTTTTGGGCAGTGACAGAAAAAAGGCTGACTAGAAAGGAAGATGGTGTTCCTGAGCTGGCTGCCAGAATATTCTTACTTTCCAATGGACTCTCTAAGCTGCCATGGATCTGCTGAGCCACTCCCTGGGTTCTGTGCTTGCCTGGCCCCCGTGGCCCTGGCGGGAGTTCTGTGACTAAGATAATCTCGGTCCCAGGCTCAGGGCCCCAGTCCCATGGCTCAGCGACCTCACCTCTGTTTCAAGGAAGTCTGAGGGCAGAAACCTGTTTTCAGCAGCACCATGACTCAACCCTCTCTCCTGGTGGCTGTCCCAGCCTCCATTGTGTTCCATCCTCCAGGGGCTTCTGAGGAGAATGGCCTGCCTCACACCTCGTCTAGGACCCAGCTGCCCCAGTCTATGAAGATCATGCACGAGATCATGTACAAACTGGAAGTACTGTACGTCCTCTGTGTGCTGCTGATGGGGCGTCAGCGAAACCAGGTGGGCCCTTCCCCCATGACGCAGCAGGTGCTTCCTGGGTGCTGGTAGCTGGCCACACACCCCTTAGGCCACCTCCCAGATGGGCCACTCCAAGCAGAATTGTTCTCCTTATCCGCGTTTCCCAGCCCGAAAGCCGGCCTGGTTCAGAGCGCAGAGTCCTCCCCACCATCTTTGGCCATGGGCAGCACATCCAGGCTGGAACATTGGCTTCTGGAATGAGAGCCGGCTGCTGGGCACATTCCCTCAGCCTCTGAGTGTGAAGCGGGAGATCAGTGACCAGCAGGACACGCTACTTCTCTGGTGGGCAGCAGTCACCTCTCTGTGGGGCCAGCCCCCTGCACCCCTGCAATCTGACTGGGCTGTCACCCTGAGCTGCGTGACAGAGCTGCGGCTGTCCCCGTTACATACAAGTGCCACTTTTGCTAGGAAAAGATAGTGTGAGGAAAGTCAGGGGGCTCAACAGGCCTGCCAGGTTAGCCAGCCCCCGAGGTGGGCGTCTGGGTGGCCGGTCAAAGGGTAAGAAGGCCAGTGGCACTTTGGACCAAGCACTCAGGAGAGCCTGACTGAGCGCATTAAGGTTGAGAGCCTGGGGAAAGGGTTTTGGTGTTTTCTCTGAAACGGAAAGCCATTTGGTCTCTGAGGAAAAGCGATGATGGGAGCTCGGACCAGCGGGCGGGTGTGAGTGATAAGGAGTGCTTTCATTCCGGACACTTGCAGGCCGGGACAGGTAGGATTTGCTCAGAGATTGGATGTGGGCATAGGAGGGAGAGAAGGAGAGCCATTGATTTAGCTGAGTGGAAGAGCATATGCTTCAGTTTCTAGCATCCCCATCCTGACTCCCCCCACCCCACCACCCCAAAAAAAAGGGAAGAAGAGGGACAGAGTTCTGGGTAGTGGGTAGGGTGTTTGCCTTGCCCATGGCTGACCCAGGTTTAATCCCTGGCACCACGTATGAGCCCTGCCAGGAGTGATCCCAGAGTGCAGAGCCAGGAGTAATCCCTAAGCACCACTGGGTGTGGCTCAAAAGCAAAAACAAGAGATTTCCTTCATATGCCAGGCGCTATGGACACAGGGATTCGCGGACCCCTCCTAGCCTGGGAGAGCGGGGGCAGCCTTTCTCCTCAAAGTGGCCAAATGCTGTGTCTCAGCTAATTTGAAATCATTAGACTGGAAAGATTCCTCAGATACCGTAACTTCCTGCCCTCTCTTGCCAGTGAAAGTCACCAGGTTTCCCCCAGCCATCCCCGTGTCAGGTGAGCATCCCTAACCCAAGACCTTGTTTGGGTGCTTGCAGCATCACCCCTTCCTTCATTTTCCATCAAGAAACTCAGGTGTAAAGAAGAATTTGCCCAAGTCCTGCAGCTTTGTCAAGTCTTGTTCGATCGCCAGAGATAAATGCCTGCTGGGGATCTGAACACCTGAGTTGGGGTGACAGCTGAGTCCTGCCGGACCTCCTTTCCGCTGCTAAACTGGGGTTTCAGAAGCTATGGTGCTCAGGACTTCCCTTATCCTTCCTGGATTGACCATTACAGCAGCCCTGGAAAGGGGTAGTAATAGCTCTGTATTTTGCTGTATAAACATTTATTGGACCACAGGAAGATACACCGTTCAAAGCTGTTCTGATTCGGTTTCAGTCATTTAATGTTTCAACACCCATTCTTTCAGCAGTGTACTTTTATGTCCCCAATTTCCGTCCTGCTCCCTTGCCCCAACCTACCTCTTCGACAAACATATTCCTCTCTCTCAGTCTCTGTTTTCCCTCCCCTTCTCTCTCCCTCCCCTCTCCCTTCCTCCTTCTTCCTTCCTCTCTCTCCCCCCTCACGTTCCCCCTTCCCCCTCTCTCTCCCTCCCCCTCCCTCCCCCCCCCCCCCACACACACACATCTACCTTTTGGGAATTACAGTGTACATTACAGATACCAAAAGGTTATCATAAACATTTACCTTAATAGATTTGTGTAGTTCAATGGTAAACATTGTAAATAGTACAAATGAAGCCTTTCTCCTGAGCATTCTGGTTCTTCTACTGATGATCACAATTTCTAGAGACATTTTGCACTTATAAAAGCAATTATGACTTGCTCCATTCTTTTGTTACTTTTTTTAAAAAATACATTCTTTTGTAATAGTGCCTTATATTCCATTGAATAAATGCATATTAGTTTATGCAGCTAAACCCCACTGATAAAAGTATAGGTTATATTTGCTTTCGTGTGCCACATAAGGCTACTATGGTAACTATGTACATATGTCATCTTGTGTTTCATGGATCTTAAATTCCTAAAAGTGGTATCACCGACCAAAACTATCATCCTATGCTGCGAGCAGGAGGCTAGATTGGTACCACCTGGAGGGCAGTACCAGGGTAATACCAATCTGCCATTAGTTTCAGTCAGCCTTTCTCCTCACTGCCTGCAAGTGTGTCTTAGGCCTGGCACAGCACCACATGCTTGGAAAACCTTTTCTTCTTTGCCTACCAGGAGAAGTAAAAAGTTGGTTGTGATTTGATTTCAAGTTCTTTTCATATCATTACAGTATCACTGTATCATTGTCATCAATTTGTTCGAGCGAGTGCCAGTAACATCTCCATTTGTCTCTGTCACGTGATAGTGTAGCCCAGTGGCATAATGGGAGCTCTTTCAGGGTCAGGGGAATGAGGACCATCATTGTTACTGTTTTTGGCATATCGAGTATGCCATGGGTAGCTTGCCAGCTCTGCCGTGCGGGCGGGATACTCTCAGTAGCTTCTCAGGCTCCCCGAGACGGATGGAGGTTTTTTGGGGAAGCCTCTAATCACCTTTACAGGTGTTCCCAGTCAGACATATATGCGGGCAGGATACTTTCAGTCGCCTGCCGGGTTCTCTGGAAGCAAAAACTAGACAATAAGAGGTCGCGCGGCCACAAATGCAGCCGTGCACTTCCAGGAGCTTGGTATCATAAGTGAGGCTTAGTATTTTGTCACTTTCTGTATTCTCTCTCGCTCTGTCTCTCTGTCTCCACCCCCTCCTCTCTTTGTCGCTCTTCTTTCTCTTCTCCCCACCCCTTTCCCCACTTTTTCTATAGCATTTTCCTTTCTTTTTTTCTTTTTTTTTTTTCCGGTCACATAGGCTATGCATAGGCGTTACTCCTAGCTCATACACTCAGGAATTACTCCTGGCGGTACTCAGGTGACCATATGGGATGCTGGGAATCGAACCCAGGTCGGCCATGTTCAAGGCAAACGCCCTACCTGTTGTGCTATTGCTCCAGCCCCGCATTTTCCTTTCTGTGTAAGATATTTGCAGGATTACTGCTAGAGGAAATTGACTTTTCTTTCATGCTGTAAGATCGCCAACATGCTTTCCATTTGGCTTAGTGTATTTGTGACTTCTCTCATGTGCTTTGTCATGCGGAATTTTTACAGGTGTGTGATTTCGACAGTTTTCTCTTTTTGAGTGTCACAGTACTGGAAAAAGCCTTTCTCTTCACCCATGTTGTGCAGCGTCCAGAGGTCACTGGTCACAAGGCTGAGGGTTACACGCTCTTCCCAATGCTGATGCATTAGCTGTGCCAGGGATTGCCTGGTGGCCTCTAATGTGCAGACACTATTGGGGCTTATTGGGGCTCCCAGTTGACAGTGTGGGATGGAGCCGGGGTGCGTTCCAGCATGCAAGGCACATCCAATGCAGTGGACCTCCAGGGCTACTCCTAGGCAGCGGTGGGCAGAGGGAGGCACTGGCCTGCAGTGCTGACGAACAGACCCAGGGACTCACACCTACAGGGTGGAGGTTCCACTTGAGCCACATCCCCAGGCCTTGATCTTTTTTAAGCTGTGCAGGAATTTCCCTAAGACTTTGAAAATCTCATCTTTTATAGTCTTGTCTTGCGTCCATTTGGAATTTATTCTAGTGTGATGCTTGAAAGTTGTTTTTTGTTTTGTATATTTGGTCTTGGGGCTACACCCAGTGGTGCTCAGGTTTTACTCCTGACTCTGCACTCAGGGATCACTCCTGGGGGGCTCAGCGGGCCATAAGGGGTGCCAGGGATCATATCCTGGTCGGCTGTGTGCAAAGCGAACTCCTGCCTGCTGTGCTATGGCTCAGGCCCCCTTGAGGGTTATTTTTATTTCAGAGCTATTAGAGACAGCACACTAGGAAGGTAAAGGAACTCGCTTAAGACAACCACGTTTTCACACAGCAGAGCTGAGTCTCACGCCCTAGGCACTCGGAATCCATACTCTCGAGCTGCCCTGCAGCATGGCGTGCAGCACTACTGTGAGAGTTACTGAGTAGAATCAGAGTAGTGGATGCTGTAAGGTGGTGGGAGGGGTGTAAGGCATGTGTGGATGGTGCGGCCTCTGTGGCCTGGACACTGTGGCCTCCTTCATCCTGTCAGTTGTTGCTCCGCGTGCAAAGCTCCCCCCAGAGCAGTGTCCTGACCGCTGTCCTGTCCCTGCCCGTCCAGGTGCACAGAATGATTGCAGAGTTCAAGCTGATCCCTGGCCTCAATAATCTGTTTGACAAGTTGATTTGGAGGAAGCATTCAGCGTCTACCCTCGTCCTCCACGGACACAACCAGAACTGTGACTGCAGCCCGGTGAGTCAGGGACCCTTGGGACACATCGGCCTTTGCTCTCCAGAGCTTCTTTGGGGACCTGCTCGTTGGGCACACATGCTTTGGAGAGAGCACAGTCAAGTCCTGGCCTGGCCCATCACTCCGGTGCTAGAAATTCCTTGGGGAAGGGACTCACGCCCCCACCCCCACCCCGCCTCTCTGGGCCTGCCAGCCACCAGTCCCCCACGGAGCAGCAGGCCTTCCCGTGTTCTGTGCTCTTCCCCACTGTCATCCATAATCAGCTGCCGTTTCATGGTCCGCCTGTGAAAACGAGCAGGCTCACAGCGCAGCTTTTCCTGTGGGATCAGCTACCAGCTCCTTTCCACCCTGTTTCTTAGCAGAGCTCTTGTGAGAGCTCGTAACTGGGGTGTGCTGTTCCTCTTGCAGTGTGGACAACACTTGAATGAGCTGCTTCTTCTGCACTGCTGCTGCTTTCTTTTTTTTCAAATTAAAAAAAATTTGAATGAGACCAGTTGTAGTTACTGGTTTTGGCATATCGAATACACAGCGGATAGCTTGCCAGGCTCTTCCATGCGGGCGGAATACTCTCAGTAGCTTGCCAGTCTTTCCGAGAGGGATAGAGGCTTTTGGGGTGACCTCTAATCACCCTTGTAGGTGTTACCATATTTGAACCCTATCAAATATGGTACAACAATTCCAGAAGATGGGTGTTTAGTGTCTTATGATGTGTCGCGCGGCCGCAAGCGGCCGCACGGGTCCAGAAAACATCCTGGAGTGTGGCGACGGCTGGGTAGTGGAAGTAGTGTCGAGAGTGGAAGTCTGCCAGTGGGGTATTTATCTGGGTAGGGTGGGTCTCCTGTGCACAATTCGATCCCTGGGTGGTTGATGGAAGCAGACAGGGCAGGGTAGGGTGGGGCTCCTGTACTTTCAATGCACGTACGCTAGCATCAGATGCATCCATCGAGGACCTGATGGTAGAAGCGCGAATGATCAAGTACGACATCATTGGTCTGACCGAGACAAGAAGGCACGAATCTCACCATGCCGTTTTCAACACTGGAGAAGAATTGTTCCTCGGAACATGCGATAAAAGAGGTGTTGGAGGCGTCGGTGTCCTTGTCAACACAAACTTGGCCAAGAGCATTGATTCATTCGAATGATGCCTAACAACCCGAATCAGACGTTTACATTTGAATAGATGTGGCTCACTGCCTGCAGTTTCTATCTTCGTTGTCTATGCACCAACATCTCATTATGATGAAAGAGAAATCGAGAAGTTCTACATGGAGCTAGAGAAGTTCTATAAAGAAGACCACACCTTCTACAAGATTATTGTGGGTGATTTTAATGCCAAGATAGGACCGAGAAGATCAGCTGAAGAACTCCACATCGGGACCCATGGCCTAGAATGGAACGAACAGGGTGAGAGACTGTCTGAGTTCATCATGTCGACCAAGACCATTCATGGTAACTCACAGTTCCAGAAGGCAGAATCTAAACGATGGACATGGGAGTCTCCCGGTGGACGATTCCACAACGAAATAGACCACATCATATTCAATCGACGGTTTTGCCTGACTGATGTCGCTGTTGTCCCAAAATTTCGAACGGGATCGGACCACCGTCTCCTTCGTGCAAAATTCTACTTCACAGAGCGGGGAGAAAGGGCTGCAAAGTTCAAAAAGAGAACTCCCAGAATGACCACCAACTGGGAACTCTTTGGTACTATTGCGGCAACATGGGAAGATGCCATTGTTGACAACATTGACGAGGAATACGATCGACTGGTTCAGCACCTCCATGAATGTGCGAGGAACGCCAAGAGAGAGATAGCCACAAAAAGTCGCCTATCTTCGAAAACTCTTGAGCTAATTCGCCAGCGTGGTTTGGCGCATGCCTCAGGCAACCGCAAGCTAACATCCGAGCTTGCAAAGCAGTGCAGAGATGCGATCAAGGAAGACCTCAAAGAGAGAAGAGCAGAAGTACTGGTAGATGCGGCAGAAGCCGGGAAAAGTATTCGTAACGCCCGCCTGTCCTTCGCCAACTATAAGACCAAGATGACTGCCCTCCGACGTCCTGATGGATCCATCACATCCTCCAGAACGGCAATGGAGAAGATTATCCATGACTTCTACTCAAATCTCTTCGATAGCCATGTCCACTTGCCGACATACCAAATTCCACAGGATGGGTATGTCATTCCCAATGTTCTCCCTTCCGAAATCCGACACGCCATTTCGTCGGTAAAGAAACAAACAGCACCCAGCCCAGACAAGGTCAGACCTGAACACCTGAAGAACCTACCGTCAGTACTCATCAATACACTGGCTCGGCTCTTCACTCGCTACTTGTCTGAATGCAAGGTTCCGTCCCAATGGAAAACCAGCAGGACCGTACTACTGTTCAAGAAGGGAGACATCCATGACATTGGCAACTATCGCCCGATCTGCCTATTGTCTGTCATCTACAAGTTGTTCACTCGAGTCATCCTGAATAGGATTGGCAGAAGACTAGATGAAGGACAACCATGCGAGCAAGCAGGGTTCCGCAAAGGATTCAGCACCATCGACCATATCCACACGATAACCAAGCTCATTGAGGTTTCTCGGGAGTTCAAGATGCCGCTCTGCTTAACGTTCATTGATTTAAAGAAGGCCTTTGATTCTGTTGAGACGGAAGCGGTCATTGAAGCCCTAGCCAATCAGGGCATTCAAGCCCAATACATCAGGATCCTCCGTGAGCTGTATTGCGGATTCACTACCAGGATCTCACCATTCTACAAAGAAGTGATCGTTGATGTCAAGAGAGGGGTGCGGCAGGGTGATACCATTTCACCAAAACTCTTCAGTGCCACCCTCGAGAACATCATGCGACGACTGGAATGGGAAGGAATGGGAGTAAAGATAGATGGTCGGCAACTATACCACCTCCGCTTTGCTGATGACATTGTTTTAATAACACCAAACATCAGCCAAGCGGCACAAATGCTGGCCGACTTTGACCGTGAGTGTGGAAAGGTAGGACTACAGCTGAATCTTACGAAGACAATGTTTATGAGAAACAGCCTTGTTCCTGACGCCCCATTCGCTCTCAATGGAACGACCATCTCCGAATGCAACAGCTATGTGTACCTAGGTCGAGAGGTCAACATGACAAATGACCTGGCACCCGAGCTGCGCAGGAGGAAGAGAGCGGCTTGGAACATCGAACAAATAGCTAAGAGGATGAAGAACCTCTGGCTCCGGGCACATCTCTTTGATTCCACTGTTCTTCCTGCATTAACATATGCCTCAGAGACCTGGGCCCTACGCAAACAAGATGAGAACGCCATTCAGGTCTCCCAAAGAAGAATAGAAAGAGCTATGCTTGGAATATCACGTTTCACTCAAATGAGAGAACGAATCCGGAGTTCTGACATCCGTCGACGATCAAGAATCAGGGATGCTGTCTCATTTGCCAAGGTGTCGAAAATCAGATGGGCTGGTCACGTAATGAGATTTAAAGATGACCATTGGACTAGAGCTGTTACTGATTGGATTCCACGGGATGTCAAGAGACCGCGTGGCCGCCCACCTACCAGATGGTCAGACTTCTTCGTCAAGATCATGAACGATCGGTTTGAGGCCCTTCATGTTCCCAGAACGAACAGATGCCATTGGGCTACACTAGCACGAGACAGGGACAAATGGAGACGTTACTGGCGCCCGCTCTAGCAAATCGACAACTAACGGGAAGTTAAGTGATTAAGTGATTAAGTGAAAAAAATTTAATTTTATTGTAGTTGAGGTAACTTGGTTGAAGTAGTGTTCACACTCATGCTGTGGTGGACAGAATCACTGTGCATCCATTGACTGACGTGCCCAAGACCGCCTCCCCCCACTTTCCCAGTGGCACTTCTAGTCCTCCTCCTCCTCCTCTGCCGCCCCTTGACCCTACCCCCCAACTTGGTGCCCTAGGTTCTGTATTCGAAACCCAAGGGATTGTTCTTAGATACTGTCCGTCCCTTTGGTTTTTCCATATACCACAGGTGCACGTAATCATTGAATTTCTAACCTCGCTTAACATGACGATCCCCTCTAGCTCCATCCACATCGCAGCAAAATTTTTTCTCTTATTTTTATAATGTTCTGCTCCCCTGGGAATCCCCACCAGCTGCCAGCAGCACCCTGACCTTCCTTTGCCAGAAGCCCAGGTTTGGGTTTCAGGAATTGTCTCCCCGCCTTGCACTCCCGGCACTCCTGGCTTCCACAGGCCTTTCCCAGCCCAGCCTGTCTCCACCGTGCCTGCTCTTTGCTCCTTGCTCTGAGCTCATCCCGCAATTCTTTTTTAATTGTGTGTGTGTGTGTGTGTGTGTGTCTTTCTTTGGGTCACACCTGGCAATGCTCAGGGGTCACTCTTGGTTCTGTACTCAGGAATTACTCCTGGCAGTGCTCAGGAGACCATATGGGATGCCAGGGATCGAACCCAGCTCGGCCACGTGCAAGGCAAATGCCCTCCCCAGTATTATCTCGCTGGTCCCCCAGTAACTGGTTTTAACATCACATGTCTTACAGGACATCACCTTGAAGATACAGTTTTTGAGGCTTCTCCAGAGTTTCAGCGACCATCATGAGTGAGTGTGCTGCGCCCTTGCTGGCCCAAGACTGGTGCCACCCACACTCCTTTCCCCTCCTCTGCTCTCCCCTCCTTTTCTCTCTCCACCCCTTCCCTCCCTCTCTTCCTCTCTGCTCCCTGCCCCTCCACTCCTTTCCCCCTCCTCTGCTCTCCTCTCCCCTCTTCCCCTGCTCCCTTCTTTCCTCTCCTCCTCTCCTCCCTGCCCCTCTACTCCTTTCCCCACCCCCATCTCCTCCTCTCCTTGCGGCTCCTCCCCTCCCCTCCTCCCAGCTGACCAGCCTTGCAGAAGTGCTTGCGTTGGGGTTCGTCGCCACAGTGGTCGCTCCAGCAGCCACACGGCCAGGTCCCACCAGCAGCCCTTCCTGTGTGTTGGCCCCGTGTGGGTCTTTCCTTCCCGCACAGGGGAAGGAAAGTGAGCCGAGCAGCCGACCCTCACTCCCTTGGATTCACCCCTCTGTCCCCTGCCCTCTGACCAGGAGGTTGGGCTGGGCTATTGTCTGGGTTGAGAGTGGCTCCCTGAGCAGTGCTCTCCACACAGGAGCGGCTGCCCACTTGCTTCCTCCCTCCACTGTCCCTGTGCAGGAAAGCATGGGGGGGCGGGGTACGCTGACCCCTGGCCTTGGCAGGGGAGACAGTGTTGCAGTGTTGTTCTGGGGACCTTGGTGAGCTGCCGCAGGAACCCAGGCCCACTGTTGCCCTAAGGAAAGGCAGTAATGCATATTTACATGAACAGTCGTGGTTTTCAAAGGAAACTTTGTACAGCCAGAGGGGACATGTTGCCCCAGGGCCTGCTCTGTCCCTTTGCACTGGAGCTCAGTGGCTCTGCTGAGAGGGCCTTGGCCCTGAGGCCTGGGAAAGGACCCAGGAAGTGTGAGAATGAATGTGGCCCTGTAGTGGCATCTCACTGCTTTATTCTCCTTCGACACTGTGGGTGCAGGGGAACTGTGCTGGGCTCTGGGGAAAGGGTGAGAGGGACACAGCCCTGCTCCATCCTGCACGGAGATGTCTTCAGCACCGAGTGACATGCCCAGAGACTGTTCTGGAGGGGCGGAGCGTGGCTCGGTGTTGGTAGGGAGTGAGGAAGGCGGTGGTCATGGCCACAGGGCAGGACTCTGCCTGGGCTGCAGCAGGGAGAACAGGGAGTGGGGTCCCACTCCCAGAGCTCACTGTGGGGGCTGTGTGGAGCCATTCCTCCAGGAGAGCGTTGAGAAAGCTGGGGCTGTCCTGGGGCTCGGGTGCTGAAAGGAGGGTTCAGGACGCAGGAACAGGGCCCAGGGGAGAGCTGAAGTGAAGTTTGATTTGGAGAATATTGAACTGCGGGTGCCTTTGAGAAATCAAGCAGAAATGCTCAGTGGCCAAAGCAAGCCGCAGAAGGGCTCCTGCTGGCAGAGGGGGTGAAAAGAGGAGCGGGCTGGGGGCTCCCTCCCATGGCCCCAAAGTGGGAGCCCGGGCCTGCCCTACACCCACCAACCCCGCTTGTTGTTGGCTTCAGGAACAAGTACCTGCTGCTGAACAACCAGGAGCTGAATGAGCTCAGCGCCATCTCCCTCAAGGCCAACATCCCCGAGGTGGAGGCTGTGCTCAACACGGACAGGTGAGCGCCACTGCCCTGTCCCCCCAGCCCCACCCCATACCCTGACCTGCCCCGCCAAGGACACACCAGCCTTGCCCACTTAGAGAAGCAGCGTGTGCGCTCTCCTGCCCTTTTATTGCCCTCTGCCTTGACATTTTCCCTAGGATGGGCATGCAGCCTGTGTTTTTTCTTTCTTTTTTCTGCGCCCCTGCAGAGCTCAGGAGGCCCTGGGGCTCCTGGCGGGAGTTACCGTCCACCCCAGGGGTGCTCAGGGACCTCCAGAGCTGCACCCAGCAATGCCTGGAGGACTTTGTGGTGCCAGGGACCAAACCAGGGTCAGCTGCCACGCTACCCCATGCTCTCTCAGAACATCCAGCCTTCAGTTAAAGGCAGCCCTTTGTCCAGAGAACCCATACATGGTCCCCACTGCTGTAGGGGTGGCTGGAAGCAGAGCGTTGCAGGGCACAGGCCTCCCGTCTGCCTGGCCCCGGCTCTCCCGGCATGCAGCCAGCATCTCTTCCTGCTTCCTGGGTCATGAAGCCGATGCCCGGAGACTTATGTATATGTCCATGGCACAGATCCTTCCCACCTTGTGGGTTCTCATGCCTCTTTCCAACCCACTGTGGTGCCGACAGCTCCCTCAGTGCTGGACTCTGTCTCACTCCGGATTTGTTCTGCCCTCTTGCCGGTGGGGCCGGGAAAGGGATGCTGGCTTCTGCTGGGGGGATGCAGTTATCTGTGTATTTCTAAGACACAGCTGTGTGTTTCTCGGGGTACTTGGCACTGCATAGAGCAGGAGGGGCATCCTCCAGATTTGGAAATGTACCCCAAGATTTCCCTCCACCAAGTCAGCGAAGAAATCCAGCCCATCAGCCCCTCAGACCTGCCATCAATGTCCCATCTGTTTGATTCCAGGAGTTTGGTGTGTGATGGGAAAAGGGGCTTATTAACTCGTCTGCTGCAGGTCATGAAGAAGGAGCCAGCCGAGTCATCATTCAGGTAGGTCTTGGGACAGGCAGCTGGACAGGGAGGGGCCCTGCAGCCGAGGATTGTAGGCAGAGGAAGACCCCAGAGGCTAGCGTCCATCCTGGATGGCGGGCACCGCAGGGGTTGCAGCCTGAGGGGCTTCTGCCCTCGTGTTAACCCATCAGGTGTGTCTTGATCCTGCCAAATGCCAGCCGTGCATTTCAAGAGCTAGACGAGCATTCCCCCAGGCACCTGGTTGGGTCTTGGAGAGAAGGAAATCCCAGTGACAGCCCCTGCCCCAGGAGCTGCAGGAGCAGAGGAAGCCCTTCCCCTGCTGATGCTGGTGCAGAGGATGGGGAGCCCTTAAGTGTGGGGCCAGGGAGGGAGGTGCCATGCCCTGATATACCCCTGCCAACACTCCTTGCTTTGTCCACACACCCCCTCATGGGTCCCTGCTCTGCTCCCAGGGCGCCCGTCAGCCTCTGCTCCCCTGAAAGCCCCTTGGAGTGAGTTCAGTAGCACGGCCAGATGCATTTGTCAGCTTCCCAACACACTCCTGGCTCCTTCTCCATGCCCCCCCTCCCCCCCAGTTCTGAGGGACCCAGGGCTAGCATCCCGGCACCACCTCCTCCTCCCACACAGAAGCACACAGGAGACCAGGCTGCACCATGCAGTCACCCCCTTAGGGTAGGGACATGGGCTCTGTCCCCAAGGTCCAGGGTGAGGCCTGAGGCCTGGGAGGTATTTGGTGAAAGCCCGTAAGAGGAGACAGTGGCCAACATCTTGTAGCCCCTTGGGAAGCGGGCACTGGCCAGAGAAACAACCTTAGCTGCCTGGCCAGAGCTGACATTTAGGTCGTAGGTTCTGGCAAGCCCGGGCCGTGGAGAGTTTCCTCCGGGGGACCACCTCCTATGCAGACCAGATGTTCCTGCTCAAGCGAGGCCTGCTGGAGGTAAGGCCAGAGGCGCTAGGGTGGGTGCTCCCGGCCCCACAGCCCCTTGTGCTGGGGACTGGCTGTGTCCTCGAGCCATCAGGAACAGCCCACCTCACGCTGAGATGCAGAGGGGCCTACCTCCTTTTGCCTCTGGCTTCTTGTGGGTGTTTCATGGTTGGAGGACCCTAGGGATGGCACTGAGAGGAGTAAAGGTCCTGCGGAGTGACTTGGCGAGGCCTTTGGCCCCGAAAATATCTAGTTGGTTTCCCTTTGGAACAAGACGGCATTTATGGAAAGCAAAACATTGAAAAGGTGTGATGAGGGGCGGGGGTAGAAACAGGGACCTGAGTGATTGTACAGTGGGTAGGGCCATTGCCTTGAATGCAGCCAACCTGAGTTCAGTCCCTGGCATGCCATCTAGTCCCCCAAACACCTCTAGGAATGAATCCTGTGCAGAGCCAAGAGTAAACCCTGAGCACCTCCAAATGTGGCCCCCCGAAAAGAAGCACAGAATGATCAGAGCTATGATTGTTTTCTTTAAATATTATGAACAAGTAACTTACCCCTTAAAATTGTAAAATCCATATGGAAGGAAAAGAAATTGACCCATGGAGCTGGAGCAGTAGCACAGCGGGTAGGGCATTTGCCTTGCACATGGCCGACCCGGGTTCAATTCCCAGCACCCCATATGGTTCCCTGAGCACTGCCAGGAATAACCCCTGTGCAACGCCGGGTGTGACCCAAAACGCAAACAAAAAACAAAAAAAGAAATATTGACCCAGATTGGTGTAACTTCAGGGACTATATAGAGTTTAATGATTGTTTAAAAAAAAAAACAAAAACAGAAAAAAAACATGAACGTAGCTAAATTGACTTGATGTTCTCGACCAAAAATGGACATTGATTACAGTGTAAACATCATTCAGACAGTTCACACTATAACCTTGGGGTACGAGGGTGGCGGGGACGACACAGTGGCCATACCTGTATTTTGGCTCTGGGGACCAGCCCCCTTCTTGCCCTCACTATGTCTTCTCCCACCCCCAGCACATTCTCTACTGCATTGTGGACAGTGAGTGCAAGTCCAGGGACGTGCTCCAGAGCTACTTTGACCTCCTAGGGGAGCTGATGAAGTTCAATGTTGATGCGTTCAAGAGATTCAACAAATACATCAACACTGACGCAAAGGTGTGCGGCCTGGGTCCTCGGGGCATGCTGTGTTGGCTGGGGGTTAGTGTGGAGGCCACGCCCTCCTGCTCTCCAGACGCAGTTTGGGATTGGAGAAAACAGGGGTGGGTGGGAGGACTAGAGAGCTGGAGGGAGGCATTATCAGCATCTTTCTGCTGCTCTGTGCGGGGCACTGTGGGAGAAGCTGGGGGCCAGTGAAAACTCTGGTCAGGGCCACTGTGTGCCCAGAGGGGCGGGTCTGGCAGTGCGTGTCCCCTGCGTGAGCCCGTCCTCGCCATCCTAGTTCCAGGTGTTCCTGAAGCAGATCAACAGCTCCCTCGTGGACTCCAACATGCTGGTGCGCTGCGTCACCTTGTCCCTGGACCGCTTTGAGAACCAGGTGGACATGAAAGGTGAGAGCTGGCCCGAGGGCGAATGGCCCCACTGCAGTGTGGCCACGCTGGGCGCTGCCCCTTATTCCGGGAGGCCCCAGGTCATGGGCTGGCGCTCAGCTGGCTCTTCCTAGCTTCACTCAGCGCTGTGATAAAATGAAACCCATCGCTGCTCACCGAGCACTCGACGCCCACAAGGACCTTCCTCTCCCGGCCCTGAGGGCCTGGGGTGGGACAGGCCCTGCTGGGCACTCAGGCGAGAAGGAAAAGAGGACCCAGCCCGAGAACACGGCTCAGCTGGCTGCCAGCAGCTGGAGGTGGCCACTGCAGTTACTGGACAGCGCGCGGCACCCACAGCTTCTCGTCAGGACCTCCAGGAGGCCTAGCCAGAGGCTTGGGTGGCCGGCCCCTGGGCTGTGCCTGCGGTTCACAGCCCTGCCCGTCTGTCCCCAGTGGCCGAAGTCCTGTCCGAGTGCCGCCTGCTGGCCTACATCTCCCAGGTGCCCACCCAGATGTCCTTCCTCTTCCGCCTCATCAACATCATCCACGTGCAGACCCTGACCCAGGTGAGTGGCCCTGGAGGCCGGGTGCAAGGGAGGAGCAGGGATGGCCTGGGGCACCTGGACAGCCTAGGGGTGATCCGTCACGCTCCTCAAACACCCCCCAGCACTCTGGTACCTATTTTCTCTTCCTTTGTTCCCTGGGCTGGGGGTTGGGGAGGGTCCAGAGAACGCAGGGCCCAGTGCAAGTTTCCTAGTGCCTGCGGAGCGGCAGTGCCCCGTGAGGAGAGCTGGGCGGCCAGGTCCCCACCCCGGGCCAGACCGCGCCTGACCGGCCGGGCCCCACAGGAGAACGTCAGCTGCCTCAACACCAGCCTGGTGATCCTGATGCTGGCGCGGCGGAAAGAGCGGCTGCCCCTGTACCTGCGGCTGCTGCAGCGCATGGAGCACAGCAAGAAGTACCCGGGCTTCCTCCTCAACAACTTCCACAACCTGCTGCGCTTCTGGCAGCAGCACTACCTGCACAAGGACAAGGACAGCACCTGCCTGGAGAACGTGAGTCCCCTCAGCACGGCCCTCCCTGTGGGGTGCCCCGCGCCACCCCGGGCGCACCCCCCAGCCCCTCTCTCTCCGCCCAGAGCTCCTGCATCAACTTCTCCTACTGGAAGGAGACCGTGTCTATCCTGCTGGACCCCGACCGCCAGTCCCCCTCTGCCCTCGTGAGCTACATCGAGGAACCCTACATGGACATAGACAGGGACTTCACTGATGAGTGAGCGTGGGCACGCGTGCCACACCCCGCCCCTCCCCTCCCTACCCCTGCTGCTCTCTGCCCCCCCACATACACCCAGTCTTCCAGGACAGGCCGGGGGCAGGGGAGTGTCTCAACCCCTGGGCCCCTGGGCCCGAGCCCCCAGGTCACTGGGGGCACCTCAGTGCTCCCGAGCTCCCCACCATGAGGACAGGGCACCAGGCCACCCGTTCTCCCAGAACCCTGGGACTCTGGGATTTTTAAACTGACTGTCTTGAGCTCCCGTCCTCTCACCGCGAGGCCCCCCTGGGTGGGGACGGAAGTGTGGGCGCCCTCCCCCGCCTGTGAGCCAAGCTTGGACCCAGCCAGGCTTCTGAGCCCCCGGGCAGGGGCGGAGGGATCGAGAATGCTCCCTCCCCCAAGCCTGCCTTGCCCGGCCCGCTGCCCCCTTCTTGTCCGTAGCTCCTCTGGTTGTTTGCTCCATTGGCCGCTGTGTTCATCCTGGGGGGTTGCCCAGGAAGGGGGGTCCTGCCATCCCTCGGGGCACAACTTGGCTGTGGCCCTGCCTCAGGGCAGTCTCCTGCCTGAGCCCAGACACAGGAGCGGGCAGGGAGCACCCTGGCCCCTCTCTGTGCTGCCAATTTATTAACAACAAATAAACCAATTAAATGGAGACTATTAAAGAACTTTATTTTACATGACTGCTGTGGGCCTGACTTTGTCCATGGTACCATGTCCTCTCCTGCTCCCCGAACCCTAAAGAACGAGGAGGCAGTTGGGGGTGTCACTTCGGTGTTTATTTGGGGGCATGGTATGCCCTGGGAACGCTGAGGCACAGCAGCTTGGGGTGGAGGAGGAGAACGGGCGGGGGCAGGCTCCGGGGAGTGCGGCCAGCCCCAGCAGGCGTCCTCAGGCATCACTGTGGTGCTGTGAGGACAGGAGCAGCCGGGTGAGCAGGGTGAGCAGTGCCAGGCCCGGGCCAGACGCCACCCCACACCACCCTCACCTTGGAGCCCAGCGCATCCCGGCTCCGCGCCCGCAGCTTGTTGGCCTGCGTCTCGGCCATGTCTGCCCGCTCCTCTGCGTCGTCCAGCTCGTGCTGGGCCTTGCGGTACTTGGCCAGGTTGGTGCTAGCCTGCTGCTCCTGGGAATAGGCCGGCCACTCACCTTCATCCCTGAACCGGTCCTCTGGCAACCCCCACCCCCACAGCAGGAAGAACGGGCGCAGGACGCTCCTTCCAGGGGGCCGGGTGCAGCCATCGAGGTTGGGGTTTGTGCTGCTGACGGGGCGCTGGGCGAGACCGCCTGGGGCAGGGCTGCAGGGGGGCTGACCACTGGCGTCCAAACCAGGGGTGCTTACCGCCTCCTCAAACTGCCGTTTGTAGCTCTTGACCTTGCTCTGCAGCTTGTCCACCAGGTCCTGCATGCGAGCCAGGTTCTTCCTGTCCTCCTCGGCCTGCACAGGCAGAGGCGAGTGAGCTCTGGCTGGAATCAGGGCCGCCCGCGCCGAGGGGCCGGGCACCCACCTGGTAGGCCAGCTCCTTGACGCGCCGCTCGTGTTTCCGCACCCCCTTGAGGGCCTCGCTGTGCTTCTTCTGCTCCGCGTCCAGCTCTGCCTCCAGCTCCCTCACCTGCGCACAGCGCGCGGGGTGGGGGTCCGCCTGCCCTCGGCCGCCCCCCCTGCCGCCCGCCGCCCGCCCCGCCGCACCCACCTTGGCCTCCAGCTTCTGCACCTGCTTCTTCCCGCCCCGGAGCGCGGCCTGCTCTGCCTCCTCCAGCCGGGCCTGCAGCTCCCGCGCCGTCTGCTCCAGGGTCTTCTTCATCCGCTCCAGGTGGGCGCTCGTGTCCTGCTCCTTCTTCAGCTCCTCGGCCATCATGGCCGCCTGCAGCAGGGGCCGAGGCCGGCCGTGAGCCGGGGTCGCCCGCCCCGCACCCCCACCCCGGGTCCCGGCCCCGCCTCACATCGGTGATGGCCTTCTTGGCCTTCTCCTCCGCCTCCCGCCTCTCCTGGGCCGCCTCCTCCACCTCTCCGCTCAGCTGAGCCAAGTCCCCCTCCAGCTTCTTCTTCTGGTTCAGGAGGCCTGTGTTCTGGGGGGCAGCAGAGTCTGAGCCAACGCGTCGCCGCGCCGGCCAGCGGCCCCCAACCCCCGCCTACACTTGCGACCCGCAGCCACGCCCCCGCCCGCGGCCACGCCCCCAGCCCGCGACCGGACCACACCCCCCCACCCCCGGCCGCGGTCTCACCGCCAGGCCCGTGATCACACCCCACCCCCGCCCACGGTCACACTTCCAGGCCCGCGGTCACACCCTGCCCCCCCTATTCCCCAGTCCGCAGCGACATCCAATCCCCAGGCCCGCGACCACACCCCTCCCCCACCTGCGGTCACACCCCGCCCGCTGCCACACCCTCAGACCCGCGGCCACACCTGCGAGTGCAGGAGGTTGAGGCGCTCGGTGGCCTCCAGCAGCTCCTGCTCCGCCAACCGCCGGCTGCGCTCGCCCTGCTCCAGGGCGGCCCGCAGCTCCTCCAGCTCGGCGGCCAGCAGTGCGGCGCGCCGCTCCAGGGCCTGGGCCTGCTCCCGCAGCTCGGCGGCCAGCCGCTGCGCCTCGTCCCGCCCCGCCTGCTCCTCCTTGAGCTGGGCCTGCAGCAGCCGGGTGGCCGCCTGCGCCTCGGCCGTCTGCCGCGCCGCGTGGCCCAGCTGCAGCTCCAGGTCATTGAGGTCCCCCTCCATCTTCTTCTTGAGCCGCAGCGCCTCATTGCGAGCCCGCGTCTCGGCGTCCAGAGAGGCCTGCAGGGACTCCACGGCCCGCTGGTGGTTGCGCCTGGGGCGGGCCGGGGCAGAGAGACTGGTCGGCACCCCTGACGCCATGAAGGCCCTGCCCCTCCCGGGCTCCCAGCGCCCGGGGCGTGGGCAATGGAGCAAACCCCCTCGGCCAGCCTCCCCAGCGCCTGGGTCTGGGTCTGGGTCACACAAGAGCTTCACCCCTAGGCTGGCAGGTCTCCCCATCAGCCGTGAGCACAGCCGGCTCTGCCTTTCCATCCCCCAGGGAAAGAGGGGAGACCCTCTTGAGTACGGATGCCCCCCCCTCCCCAACCTCAGGTTTGTGCACTCCTCGTCCTTCTCCGCTAGCTTCCGGTCCACCTCGGCCTTGACCTGGGACAGCTCCAGCTGGATCCGCAGAGTCTTGGTCTCCTCCAGTTCCAGGGCCCCCTGGGGAGCAGAGTTGGCAGCATGGGGGTGGGGGCCCAGGGCCAAGTTAAAGGAGGGGAGCGCCAAGGGGAGCGGCAGCGGCCCCTGACCTCAGCCTCCTCCAGAGCCGCCTGGAGCTCGCTCTTCTCCCCTTCCAGCGCTTTCTTGGCTTTCTCCAGCTCCTGGATGTTCTTCCCACTAAGGCTCACCTGGTCCGTGAGCTCACTGATCTCCTCTGCAGGGCAGAGAGGGCCCAAAAGGGTCACCGCCAGGGCCCCAGCCCCAGCCCGGGTGGCCTTGTTCTCCCCGACTCTGGGGTGGCCCCAGGTGGTGCTCCTACCCTGCAGGTTCTTGTTCTCCCGCTTGAGCGTCTCCAGGGCCTCAAGCGCCTCCTCGTGGCTGTGGCGCAGCCGGAAGAGCTCGGTGCCCAGGCTGCGGGCCTCCCTCTGCGCAGCCTCCAGCTCCCGCTGCATCTCCTCCTCCTGCCTCCGCCGCTCCTCCAGTGCGCGCTCCAGGTGCCGCTGCTTCTTATCGAGTGCGGCGGCGGCCGAGGTGGCCCGCTCCAGCTCCAGGGCCACGTCCTCCGACTCGGTCTGCAGCCGCAGCTTGGCCTTCTCCAGCGAGGAGCACTTGGCGTGCGCGGCCTCCACCCCCTCCTCAGCCTCCTGCAGCCGCAGGGCCAGCTTCTTTCTAGCCCGGGCACAGACAGCGTGAGGGTGGGCCGGAGCAGCCCCGGCCTCTCCCCGCGCCCCAGGTGACCCAGCAGCCCTCACTTGGCCTCCTCCAGCTCCTCGGTCCTTTGGATGGCGTCCGCCTCATACTTGCTCCGCCACTGGGCCACCTCGGCATTGGCCTTGGACAGCAGGCGCTGCAGCTCCGCCTGCGCCTCAGCCTCCTCCTCGTGCTGCTCCCGCAGGAGGTCACAGTCATGCCTCAAAGCCTGCACGGCGTGGGCCAGGGCGCTCTTGGCCTGCAGGGACCCCCGGGACCTCGGCATTAGGTGGGTGGGCACCTGCTGGCCCCTCGCCCCACCCGCCCGTGGCCGCCACCAGCCCGTCCACCTTGCTCTCTTCCTCCAGCTGCCGCCGCAGCTCCTCCAGGCTCTGGGTGGCCGAGGCCTTCCCGCGGCTCAGCTGGCTGATGAGAGATTCCTTCTCCTCCAGCAGGCGGCTCAGCTCCCCTGCGGGTGGGGACAAGCAGGCGGGTGAGGGGGGCGAGGAGCAGCACAGAGGAGGCCGGCACTGAGCCCCGGACTCACCGCTCTCGGTCTGCAGCCGCCCGCGCTGGGCGCTCGCATCCGCCAGCTGCCGCTGCAGCTCCTCCACCTTGATCTTGGCCTCGCTCAGCTGGTCCTCGCAGGCCCGGCACAGCTTCTCGGCGTTGGCCTGAGGTTGGGGTTGAGGACAAGGATAAGAGAAAGAATCCAGAGCTGCCCAACTGAGCTAGGGAACTTGGGCTGGGGTCACGGACCCAGGGGTCAGGGGAAAGCAGGTTTCAAGTTCCAGTGGCCAACCAAAAGTGAGGGCTGGACTGGCCCTGAGGCCCATGGGTTGGGATGAGGTTGGTCTCGACGCAGCTAGGGCACCCTGCAGAGCTCAGCTGACAGGATTAGGTGGGATAGGGTCAGGGGTCAAGGTTGGGGTTCAGGAACAGGAAGTGTGAGCGTAAGTCTTAAGTGAGAGGTCAAGGGAGCTCCGAGGTCAAGGCCATAATGATTTTGGGGAACCAGGTCCAAGGACTTGGAAGGTCAGGGTTGGGAATCAGGCACATGAGTGTGAAGGACAAGGGGGTCGACCGCTGGCATCGGGGCTGGGGTAGAGGTAGAATGGGAGCTGGGTCATGAAAGGATAGGGGTCAGAGGTCAGTCAGGAGGTGGACAGACACCTTGCCGCGGGTCAGAGTCTCCACGCTGGCCCCCAGGTCATCCACCTCCATGCGCAGCTCACTCTTCTCCTTCTCCAGCTTCTGCCGCACCCGCTGCAGACTGTCCACCTGCTCGCTCAGCTCGGCCACGCTGTCGGCCTGCTTGCGCCTCAGGGCGGCCACCGTGGCCTCGTGCCTCAGAGCCGCCTCCTCCAGCT